TCTCCATTTTTTTCCTCTTACTTATCTTCGTCTTCTTCTCTTAAGGGACTTTTTACAAAGATCTGTTCCTCTCTACTTGAGTTATCTCTCTCAAGTGTCTTCTTCTTCTTCTTCAGTCTTCAAACATAAGAAAGGAAGTTCCTTTTTTCCTGTTCTGCTTTATTTTCACTTGTGGGTTTATCTTATTCGGGGTGGTGGTTAGAGGAGGAAACTTTGGGATTGGATTAGAAGCTTTAAGTGAAATCAGAAAGCTTTCGAGTGAGGTTTTTTCAATTTCAAAATCGTGGGGGGTGGGGGTTAGGGTTAGGGTTTACAAGTTATGCGAACAGGTGGTTATACGATTCAACAGACACTCACTACAGAGGCTGCTTCTGTTTTGAAGCACTCTCTCACTTTAGCTAGGAGAAGAGGCCATGCTCAGGTTCTTAACTCAATCTTGTTCAATGTTCTAAAGTTTTGATCTTTTTGGTGATGTTTTATCAATGTTTTAAAGTTTTTGTTTTTATTGTTCAGGTCACTCCTCTCCATGTCGCAGCTACATTATTGTCATCAAGGACAAGTCTACTGAGAAGGGCTTGCATTAAATCTCACCCTGGTTTTTCAACTAATTACCAGTTCGCCCCTTCTCGTCTCCATCATCATCATCACCATAACCAAAACCATCCTCTTCAGTGCAGAGCTCTCGAGCTATGTTTCAATGTCGCACTCAACAGGCTTCCCACTGTTCCTGGTCCTATGTTCCATGGTCAGCCTTCTCTCGCAAACGCTCTTGTTGCTGCACTCAAAAGAGCTCAAGCTCACCAACGAAGAGGCTGTATCGAGCAACAACAACAACAGCAAACGCAAACGCAGCCTCAAACGCAACAAACGCAGCTTCTTGCTGTCAAGGTGGAGCTCGAACAGTTAGTCATATCCATTCTTGATGACCCGAGCGTGAGTCGGGTCATGAGAGAAGCTGGATTTAACAGCACCGCCGTGAAAAACTGCGTCGAAGACTGCTCCGTTTCCTCCGTCTTCTACGGCGGCTCCGTCGTCGGAGTTTTCTCTTCTCCAAACTCTCCCGATCAACAACAACACCACCACCACAACAACATCAACCGATTTCAACACTACCAAAACCCTAAAGATTTCAACTTTTTAAACCCTAACTTCCCTCTATGGCAAACCCATTTCTTAAACCAATCTCCCGACCAAAACCCACTTCTAATCTCCTCCTCATCTTCTCATCATCATCATCAACAGCGCCTGAGAGAAATCGATCTGAAACTCGTCGTTGATGTTCTTCTGAGGAAAAAAACGAAGAAGAGGAACCCAGTGATCGTCGGAGACTCAGTTGCGTTCACTGAAGGTTTCGTCTCAGAGCTAATGGCAAAGCTAGAGAGAGGAGAAATCGATCAGACTGGTGATTTAAAGCAAACACATTTCGTAAAGTTTCAGTTTTCACCAATGGCGTCCAAGTTTATGAGGAGAGAAGACGTAGAGACGAACATAAAGGAGTTAAGGAAGAAAGTTATTTCTCTCACGACGAGTGGCAAAAATGTCATTATCTTCGCTGGTGACTTAAAGTGGACAGTCAAAGAGATTACCAACAACAACAATGGTGGAATCGATGAGATTTCTTCATCTTACAGTCCATTGGATCATATGGTTGAAGAAATGGGAAAACTAATCGCTGAGTTTAACGACGAATTAGACGATGATGATGATTGCAAAATCCGAAGGGTTTGGGTAATGGGAACAGCTTCGTTTCAGACATACATGAGATGTCAAATGAGACAACCTTCGCTAGAAACACTGTGGGCACTTCATCCTGTCTCTGTCCCTTCGTCTGCTAATCTTGGCTTAAGCCTTCATGCGACAAGGTAAACTCTCTTTCTTACTTTTTACCATTAATTACTCTAACAAAGTAAAATGAAAATAAATATATATCAGTCTATTTTTTCACAAAAGTGAACTCTTTTTGTGATGTTGGTCAAAAAGGGATTGCGTAGATAGTGACACTAGCTAGTATATCTATGTTTAAACTTACAAAAAAATCGAATCTTTGTGTCTAGTTTCAAAAATAATAATGTGATAATTCACTTTTTGAAAATTATGTTGTGTTTTCGCAGTGCTTACTTGAAAATGGTCCTTTTTGAGTCTGTCTTTGTTCTCTGACTCACTCAGATCAGTGTCTCATTGAAGCCAAAACCCTCTGTGTCCACGCCTGTCCATTCACACATATACAGTTTCATTGATAATAAAATAATTTTTATAAAATTGGACCTACATAGGAGTCCACCTAAGTGTAGGCTAAATTATAGAGATATGACACTTTTTATTCGTTTCAGAAGTTTTGGATATTAGAATTTCAAGATAGATAGCTAGTAACGGATTAGAGAATATGCGTTTTAGATATTATTGGTGTATGTATTATTTATTCAATGTTCATTGCTTGTAGACAAAATTAAAACATCGTAGAGAATATATCCTGCAACCAGAAGATAATAAAGCTCGGAACTTTTTGAATTATATGTTTTCTTGTTTTGTTTTGTAGCAATGTGTGGGCACTTTTACTCTCTTTTACCACTTTGGTTAAATTAGTCTCAAGTTTTTTCTTTTATGTCTGAAAGCTAAGAGACCGTTCTATATTAGGGAAACATCTTGTCCTGTAGTCTACAGAGCTCTTTTAACAACAATCCAAAAACTCTTTTTTGCTTTTCTGTTTTGTTTTTCAGATGTTATTTTACAATAACGCCACTGACCACTGGTTTTTGACCGTTTGTTTCTTGCAGTGGACATGAGGCACGGAACATGACTAGTGTTAATGCAACAAGGTCCTTTTCTGGTTATAATAAAGCTGAGGAAGAAGACACAATAAGCTCTGTTCTGAGTTGTTGCCCTGAGTGTGTTACTAGCTTTGAGAGGGAAGCAAAAGCCCTTAAAGCTAACCAAGAAAAGCTCTTGCCTTCTTGGCTTCAATCTCATGATGCAGACAATTCTTCACAGAGGGTATAATATTTTGAACTTAAGCTCCTTGGAATAAATTGTTGTATCAGCGGTAAATTGAAGATCTAATTCTTGTATTTTGATTGTGTTGTAGGAAGAGTTAATTGCACTGAGGAGAAAATGGAACAAGTTTTGTGAAACTCTACATAGTCAGACAGGACAATTGAGCATGATGGGAAAAAACTATCCCTATGGTTTACCTTATGGATCATCAAATGAGTCTTCTAAATCTGTTTCTCTCATTGATTCGTTGGGTTTAAAGCCGAACCAGCGAAGTACAAACTCGATTGCCAAATTCAGACGTCAGAACTCTTGCACTCTTGAGTTTGATTTGGGTGGAAATGAATATGAGAAGGGTGAGTCAATCAATGAAGCTGAAGTTGACAAGGGAAACGAGACGATCACTCTCGATTTGGGGAGTTCTCTGTTTCGATCAGATTCCTTAACAGAGACGAGAAGGCAGATCAGTGCTTTGGTTAAAGCTTTGGAGGAGAGTATTCCAGGTCAAACTGTGACATTGCGTCTAATTGCTGAGAGTTTAATAGATTGCGTGTCAAAGAAGAAAGACAGTTGGATCATGATCGAGGGCAGGGACACAGCAGGGAAGAGGAGATTAGCTCGTACTGTATCTGAATCTGTATTCGGATCTTTCGAGTCTCTGGTTCATATTGACCTTAAGAAGAAAGGCAACGAGTCAAAGGCCAGCTCGGAAACGCTACTTGCTTGCGGATTAGAGAACCATGACAAGGTTGTCTTCTTGATTGAAGACATTGATCTGGCGGATTCTCGTTTCTTGAAACTCCTTGCTGATCGGTTTGAGGAGAAACGAAGGATCAAAGCTGGTATTGATCATCGCCAAGTGATCTTTATTTTGACAAAGGAGGATTCGAACAACGCGAGAAACATAGACTCTGTTTTGCAAATTGGTTTGGAGATCACGGCACAGAGTCCGGGAAAGAAGAGAAAACCCGAGTCGGATATCTCGGTTAGGGAGGGGAAGAATTCTAAAGCCGGAGAGATAGAGAATCGGTTTTGGATTAAGAAGGAAGTATGCTCGAGTATCAATAGCTCTTACCTGGACCTGAACATAAAAGCTGAAGAAGAAGAAGGTGAGATCAGTCCAATCACAAGCGATTTAACCGGAGAGGAGGAGGATACGGAGTTCTCTTGCAGCAACTTTCTGAACCGGATTCAAAACCGGTTTGTCCTAAACCGGTCATGTGAACCAGGAATCGAGAAGGCGATGATAACAGCAGCTTTCAGGGAGGTATTTCCAGATGGGGAAGAGAGAGGCGGGATTAGGTTTAGCGTGGAGGAGAGGTTAGCGGAGGAGCTGTGCAGCGGCGGCTGCTACGTTCGAAACGGTGCGTTTGAAAGTTGGTTAAAGGAGGTATTTCAAACGGGGTTACTAACGGTTAAAAAGGGCGGGGAAAAGGATACGGGTGTAATTAGGATGGTGTTTGGGGGTATAGTTGACAACAAAGGATATGGTGGGGGTGTTGGTGGGTACATGGGTACATTTCTTCCGAACAAAGTCCAAGTTTCCAAGTTCGAGTAGACCATCTTTCGTTTTTTATTGTTTTTATTTTGTTCTTTTCCTTTTTTCAATATGTAAAATTTCCATTACTAATGTGGGGGTTTGACTGGTGTAACTCGTTTTTTTCTTCTTTTCCGAATGTAATATAAATGCGTTTTAATTTTGGGGACAATGTGTTTTTGTTTTTAAATTTCGGATTGCTTTTCAGTTTTTCAAAACCACTTATTTTTATACATGTAATTTAAGAGATAGCCATCTTGAATGCTGTAGATATTATTAGTTCTACACAACAATGGAATAAAAATAAGAAGATTCAAAAGATAGCTTGATCCAGAAAATACTATAATATAATGACGATAAATTAACAAAAATCAAAAGATTCAATTGAAGCAGTTTATTGGGATATCTTAGCTTGGTCCCAAAAATTTACTACCATGTCGTTTGTGTTTTGTAATAGAGTTTGTAATTCGGTATTTCGGTTGCTCATGTATTAGCTTCTCATGGTTGTAATTTACAGTTTTTTATTCAGATTTCTTTTATCCACTGTGCTGATTAAAAAAACAGTTGTATCATGATTTTACCAATTATTCAAAGTGAGTTATATGCTTGATGAAAAAAGTCTTTGTTTCTTGAAAAAGGAAGAGATACTTAGGATATAGATGAAAATGAATTAAATCTAAAAAGTCGATGTTGATAGTGTGACAAACTTTTAAGTTTGATTATAGAAATTTCAAACTTTTTTTTGGGTTATCTATAAGTATGAATTAATTTTAATTTTTGTCTGACACACATTTTAAAATTTATGGTGATGAATTTTTTGGAGATTTTAAAATTATTATAACTATATAAGAATAATAAAATCTTATAAAAATTTATAGAATGTGAAAATAGATATTAAACGAAGCAATAATATTAGACAAGAAAAAAAAAACGAATCAATAATATAGTGGGCTGAGTGTGAAGCGATAAAGCCCAATGGGCTTAACACTGCGATTAATTCAAACTGTAATATACCAAACGCGAAAAGCTAGTAGCGGCGAGTTCTGCGACTGCGAGCTTGGTTCCCGAACTTGAAATCAAATTTCAGAAAACGTTGAAAAAGATTCATCATCATCACCGTCTTCTCCGTCTGAGAGCAAAAGAGATGATGAGCTCAGCAACATCAATTGGAAACTGGAAGCACACTGTTCTCTACTTCACCTTAATCGTATCACTTCTCTACTTCATCGAATCCCAAATCTCGCATAAGTTACACATCAATCATAACAACATCCGTCTGAAGAGGTCCCCGAATCTTCCTCTACGGTTCCGTGACGATGGCACCTTCAAAATCCTCCAGGTAAGTTTTGTTTTTCCTCTTCTCTGTTTCTAGACTCGTGCAATTCTCTGATTATTGATTGCCATAGGTCGCGGATATGCATTTCGGAATGGGAAGTATAACTAGATGTAGAGATGTGTTGGATTTTGAATTCGACTACTGTTCTGATCTTAATACCACTCGGTTCCTTCGAAGGATGATTGAAGCTGAGAGACCTGATTTGATTGCCTTTACTGGTAAATTTTTATTGATTTTACTTGTGGATTCTCATATGAATATGTGTGTTAGGTAGGTTATGTATATACTTAAGTCTGGAGTGTAGAGTAGATTCTGTGACAGCTCAAGGGAGAAGTATTTGGTTGATCTGTATTTATACTGTATGCTAGGTTTTGTTTACAAGTGAGATCTATTGAGGTACCTAATGTTTGAAGCGAGAGCTCCATGTTTTGCTGTAGACATCAATGTGTGTTTAAGTTAGATGATAACTAATTGATGCAGCTTAATTAATGTTTTTGATGATTAGGGGATAACATATTTGGATCAAGCACTACTGATGCAGCTGAATCCCTTCTTGAAGCCATTGGTCCAGCTATTGAATATGGAATCCCATGGGCTGCCATTTTAGGAAATCATGACCAAGAATCCACTTTGGACCGTGAAGAACTGATGACTTTCCTTTCTCTTATGGATTTTTCTGTCTCGGAAATCAATCCACCAGTCGAAGATGAAATCAAAGGAGGCACAGTGAGATCAATTGACGGCTTTGGGAATTACCACCTCAGAGTACACGGTGCACCTGGTTCCGAGCTGTCAAATAGCACTGTCTTTGACCTCTTCTTTCTTGACAGTGGAGATAGAGAAATAGTCCAAGGTAGAAGAACTTATGGATGGATCAAGGAATCCCAACTTCGTTGGCTTCAAGATACTTCTAAACATGTAATGATATTAAACGTTTCTCAAAGCTCACATATTAGATCTTTCATCATACTTACATATTAGTCAAGATTCTTACCTCTAAAGACACTCACTGACTAAACAGGATCATAACCAGGGGATTCCCGGTATTCCTCCAGCGATAGCCTTCTTCCACATCCCAATCCTGGAAGTCCGTGATCTGTGGTACACACCCTTTATTGGGCAGTTTCAGGAGGGTGTGGCATGCTCCGTTGTTCAGTCGGGAGTCTTACAGACCTTTGTATCGATGGGAAATTTAAAAGCTGCGTTCTTTGGACACGACCATGTCAATGATTTCTGCGGAAATCTAAAAGGGGTATGGTTTTGTTATGGTGGAGGATTCGGATACCATGCTTACGGAAGACCAAATTGGCACAGAAGAGCAAGAGTGATAGAGGCTAAACTCGGGCAAGGAAGAGACACATGGACAGGAATTGAACTTATCAAGACGTGGAAACGTCTCGATGACCAAGACTTGAGCAAGATAGACGAGCAAGTAATCTGGAAACTTCCGATACATATCTGAAATGAAAAAAGGATAAAGGGGCAAAGACATTTAAGGTACTTATCTTGTCCTGACATAAAAAACCCATCTTTGGATGTTTTGTCTGAGAATTTTCTGAGTCTCATTCCTTGCATATGATAGATTTGAGTCTGTTGTCGTGAAAAACGTTTTTCAGATGGTCGAAAATTCGTTTAAGTTTAATAACGTCAGCTTTCGTGAGGTCCTGAGGACAAATAGCACTGTCGAAACATATGTGAATAGAAACACCGAAATTTCGTTTGGGATGCTTTGAATGATCACTTCGTTGCTGTTTCGGTGTGAATGTGTGATCTCTTTGACTATCTGACATATTTCGTTTTTTCTTGAAAAAATAAAGTATTTGGGTTTCTCTTTAATTTATGTATTAGGATTATATATATACAATTGTATGTATAAGTTATGATCTTGTTACAAGTATTTCCAGCGTCGAATCAATTATTATGTTTATATTATTTTGTTTGTTTCACTAATTTTGTCATTTTTTCCGCTTTTTTTGTTTGAAGTAGTCGTGTGTTTCTGAAATTTTCTTTTGGTCACGGTTCTAAACTTCGATTAATTCTAATATTCTTTAGTGCCACAGTGTTTTAAAATTGACAAGTGTGACATATTTTAAATTTTTCAATAAGGTATGAGAATCGTTTATTAGAATATAAAATAATCCCTCGTGTCGAATATCAACGTGAAATTAATATAATAATATACTGCTGGTCATTTTATCTTTTTATTTTAATAGGGAAATATCTAGATTTTTGTATTGCCCAATTACTGTAACTATAGATCTCATTTTCATGTCTAATAATGGACATAATTTTTTTTTCTTTTGGTAAGATACAACGATGGTGTATAACTGGTAATCTACGTTGTTGTCTCCCAAGACTTTGGTTTGTCTCATTCTCATTCTTTCCTTTCGCCTTGTCTATATAAAGCTCACCATTCGAGAGAGAGAGAGAGAGAGACAAGAGAGACCAACGAAACGAACCAGACAGTTGGGGATTTGAAATTTGTCGGAAAATGGAGAATACTATCGACCAAGAATTTAGCAATTACTGGGAACCTAACTCCTTCCTCCAAAACGAAGAGTTCGAATACGACAGGTTCTTTCATTCTTCTCTTTTTGTCTCCCTCGCTCTCTCTCTTTTTCTTGAGTACTTTCCAACTTTGAGATTTTGATAATTTGTTTTTGAAAAATCAGCTGGCCTTTGGAGGAAGCGATTTCTGGGTCGTATGATTCGAGTTCGCCGGATGGAGCTGCTTCGTCGCCGGCATCTAAGAATATTGTGTCGGAGAGAAACAGAAGACAAAAACTTAACCAGAGACTCTTCGCTCTTCGAGCAGTTGTTCCCAATATAACTAAGGTTCCTTTCTAAAACTCTTGATTTGTTTTCTACTTGCAAGATCCAAGCTTACTAATGGTTTGCTTTTTTATTTGTTTAGATGGATAAAGCATCAATAATCAAAGATGCTATTAGTTACATACAAGGGTTACAATATGAAGAAGGGAAGCTCGAAGCTCAGATCAGAGAACTGGAATCTACACCAAATAGTAGTTTGAGTTTCAGCAAAGATTTTGATCGTGATTTACTTGTTCCTGTCACATCCAAGAAGATGAAGCAGCTTGATTCTGGTTCTTCCAGTTCTCTCATCGAAGTTCTCGAAGTAAGTCATGTCTGCTTCCTACATTCACTTTGAAATCATAGATTTAGGACACTTATATATTTCATTTTTCTTAAATGGTGGGTTTTGTTTTGTTTTGGGTGGTGATTTAATGAAGTTGAAGGTAACATTCATGGGAGAGAGGACAATGGTGGTGAGTATAACATGTAACAAGAGGACAGACACAATGGTAAAACTGTGTGAAGTATTTGAGTCATTAAATCTCAAAATCCTCACTTCCAATCTCACCTCTTTCTCTGAGATGATCTTCCACACTGTCTTTATTGAGGTCAGCATCTTTCTCTTTCACTCTATCTTTAATTAATTAATTACTAATTTGAAGTAATGATTGCAATTAGTCAAGAGTGGATAGTAAACTTTTTAAGTAAAAGTAAAAGGAAGCATTTAGATGATAGTATATGATTACTTTAGTTAACTTTTCTAAAAGTCTCCATCATCCAATGCTAATTATGTAAAGTGCATAATATTAGATTTTTTTTTTTTTGTTTCTCAGCTATTTCTTAAAATTTACTAAAGTGTAAATACTAGGTTAATTTCTTTCTTTTTCTTATACTTTTGTTCGTTTTGGGTAAACCATGATATGAAAATTTTATTTTAGATTTTGGACTATCAGTTTTTAAGTATTTTATAAACCACATATCTCATTCGTGACGCTGGCAATGAGCGTTGTGTTATTACTTTATTTGTTTACCTGAAAAAGAAATGAATAATAAATACCTTTTCCAAAACGCAAAGTTTATTTGATTTGATACTCTGATTTAGACGACATGGACCTTTCAGGTTGATTTAAAGCAAGATTTTATTGATTAAACTAATGATTATATTATATAACACACAAATATTCGGCTTAGTTTGTATCTGGTAACGTTTTTTTTTTGTTGGCCACTTAAGCTGTGGGTGTGCTTATTTTTGTAATTTGGCCACTTAAAAACGAATTTTCTTTTACTTTTTTTAGGTTTCTTTTTTAATCTCTATTGGTAATAGTATATATTAATGGTAACCTAAATTAATCGGAAGGTTCTGGTGGCGACCAAACACATTTAATGTAATTTGGTCCATTTAGTAGTTATTACAAAAGAAAGTATAATAATATATTATCTATGTGGTAAGCAGAATCTGATTGCGTCGATATGATAAATATTGTTCAACCGCTCGAATTAAATAACAACGTGATAAAATACTAGTAGTAGCTAATTCTGCCAAGTATCATAAAAGATTAAATTAATCAAATCATAGAATAATAATAACAAGAGTCAAGAATGATTGGATCTTAGAGATAAGATTATGATCGCAATTGCTAATTAAAAATACTGACTTTTATCTTTAATGGAGGGACCTGTTTCTCTTCTTTGGCTTAATTAATGTCTTCTTTTTGTATTTTCCATTTTTGTCTCGTTACACAATATAATATGAAGCTCTCTATGTTTCCTAATTTATATTGTAAAAATGTGGATATTTGGATGAACAGGCGGATGAAGAAGAACAAGAGGTGTTGCGGTTAAAAATAGAAACAGGAATAGGAGCTTACAATGAAACTCAAAGCCCTACTTTGAGCATCGACTCTCTTTACTAATACTTCTTCTTTTTTTTTTGTTGTTGTTGTTCGTCTTCTTCTTCTTCTTTTGGTTTTTTTTTTCTTTCTCTCTTTTACTATAAATGTTATGTCTCTTTTCATTTTTTTCTCCTTCGTTTTGTTTGGCATCACGAAGACTTCTTTTGTCTTTTTTTTTTTATATATATATATAATGTCTATAATAAACCTATGCATTGTTTGGATATCCTAACTTGATTTTGGGGGAAACATAGTATATTTCTCAATACTATATTACACTTGGAGAGCAATATTAATAGAACTTGATATTAGAGATGATGAGTAGATGATACCAACTACTATTTTTGTACGCCCAACAAACGTGAGTTCAGTTTAGCATCTCCATAAGTGCATGAACTCGTACTACCTATTTTAACATTTCTCTACAAAATTTTTAGTTTAGTGAAAGAATCGTTAGTTTTTCTTTCCTAGTATTTTTTAGTCAAAATAGACAGCACATTTGTCATAAATAATGATAATACGTGTAATAATATATTTGTATATACGACATTAATTTTTATGATTGGTTTGCGTTTCCATTGACAGAAAAAGAAGAAAAAAAAAACGACATTTACTAGATCCCAATGATTGATATACGTTTTATTTTTGTCAGCAAAAATTGATTACCACACAACATAAATGTAACTATTGTGTTATAAAAGTATTATGTTTTACTGAAAAATATTGTTTGGTCTGCCTGTAATGTAAAAATAATAATAACAGAGAACATCAAAAGCAATTGTGTAAAACAGTAAGACTACCTTTGAACTCTTTTAGTCTCTTTATGGTTCGATTATGTTGTATACATGTGTGCGAGAACGATTGTTAGTTAACTTCTTTTGGGAGCTCATCTTTTGTTGTGTGAACACATTTAAAACATCTCTCTCAGGGCTTATTATTAAAGCTCACATGCTTACATGTTAAATCAATACGGTCCATTAGTAGATTTTATTATTTATTTCGCTCACTCCATGCCAATCAATTTCAGAGATATCATATCTCTCAATACTATTACAGTAAAACCTCTATAAATTAATAATGTTTGGACCATGAAAATCTATTAATTTATAGAGGTATTAATTTATCGATAAATTAATAATTTATACAGAGATATTCCTAATTTGGAAAATATTTTCAAGACAATATTTAAAAATAAGATTTAATCATGATAATTAGTATTTTATATAATCAATTACAAATAAAACAATAATTATTATGTATTAAAAGAGAATGCTAACTATTTTTCATATAGTAAAATATTAGAAATAAAATCTAACAAAAACTAATGTGTCTATATATACATATTTTTTGAAAATTTTACCTAATTATTAATTTATAATATTGATGGGACCATATATTTACAAAGGATTTTCAAAAAATTTATTATCTTATTATTTTATCGAAATGTGCCTAAAATTACACTGGTCCCAAGTTGGGACCGGAGAAATTTATTAATTTACAGAGATTATTAATTTATCGAGTATTAATTTATAGAGGTTTTACTGTATATAGTATCTCTTGTTCTTGAGTTTAAAATAACCGATATGTCGAATTATTGTGAAACAAAGTTGGAAAGTTAAAATTTAAAAGAAACAATTGAAAAGAGAATCACTGCTGCTGATATGGCTTCTAAACAATAAATGCTGAAAGCCAAAGTGGTTCAAATTGCATATGAGTGTATCACCAACTTAAGACACACACTAGTAAAGAGGGCTTCTAAGAGTTAGACAATACATACATAACACACGAGCTGCATCACATGGTCCAAAACGACAACGGTTTTTACCAGTCTTTGAGGAGTGCTCCAGCAACATCTCGGTAGCTGACTTTCTTTTTCTTCACAGGAGGAGGAACTGTATCCGCCTCTGCGTCTGCAGTCACAGGAGTATTATCAGTCTCGGCGCCGAGTTTCCTTTTCTCTGAAGACTCACAATCACCATACACATCAGCGGTTCTATTTTCCCCAGTGATTCGGTTTGATGTCTCTGTGTTTTTTTGACTGAGGCTCGGGATCATGTTCATTAACATAGCTTGTAACGGATCCTCATGGATTTGTAACTTCTCCTTCATGTCCATATCAGTCTTTTCATTTCTAGAGGCCTCTTCAACTGCTACTCTGTTCTCTCGATGCAATGATTCTGTGTGCTCTGCTATGTTAAGCTCTGGGGTTCCTTTGTTTTCCTCTGTAGTACCATCTGCATCAATCTCTTCCGCATCAACTGACGCATAGTCTTTGTCATCCATACCTTCATTTTCCTCAGACTCATCTCCTCCTATCTTTGAAGCCTTCTTGCCTCTTCGTGATCTCTGTACTCTTTGGCTTTTTCCCACACGAGACGTTCCTTGCTTTGCGGATTTTCCTCTGCTAGAGTTTCTATGAGTTTGAGCCCCACCAAACGAATCGGTCTCTTCTGCTATATCATTGAGTCTGGATGAAACCTTTTCTTCAGAAGCATCACTCTCATCTGATTCGTCTCCGCCTATCTTAGAAGGCTGCTTGCCTCTGCGTCTCTGTACTCGCTGCTGTGAGTTTGTAGAAGACCTTCCCCTTTTAACAGCCCGAGTACTTGACCGTCCTCTTGAACTCTTCATTTCCATTTTAGAGGAAGCTGGCTCTTCGGTTTGAGCTCTATCACAGGAAGCTACTTCCGTTGTATCATGTTCAGATTTACTGAAGCAAACAGATAACAAATCATTGGAAGCTTTTCATATTAGCACGCCTTATATAGGTGAGAGACTAAAATTTATATCATTTGTAGATAAGAACTCATAAAAAGTGTTGACTCACTCTGATTCTTCAGTATCAGACTCTTCCATATACTTAGGCCGCAGAGTGTAGACATCCTCGCAAAGTTTTTGCTCTCTTAGCAAGCTCTCTTCTAGCCAATGAGAGTTAACAACCCACAGCTTTCTCTTCAACAGAAGGGGCTTCTCCACTTCGCTGAAACTATTAAAAAGAGAGAAAATAACAGAGTCTTAATCTTCATTATAATGTTGTACTAAGATTAAAAGTAGAAACAGAGAATTTGACATACCATTTCGAAACTGAAGTAAAATCCAAAGAGTCTTTTGTTATAGCAAGGACTACGAGGTGCGACGCATGAGCAAGATTATTGCTAACTTTACCACCACCCATTAAGACTTCAAGAGCTAATCTCTTAGCTATAATTCCCAACAGAGCTTCCTCTTCAGTGTTCCTTCAAGAAAAAAATGACATATTGAGGATGATGAGTATTGCTTTAGGTGACTGTCATGTTTAAACAACATAAGAAGAAAACAAGAGGGGACTTACAATGTTTGACTATATGGGTAAAAGTAAACACAGCAGCCATACAGGCAGGACCATCTTTTCTCTGGACATAACTTTTTCTTGTAGTAATCAATGGATTTTGAGTCTTCTGATTGCTTGGCTTTGCTTAAAACCTGGAAACAAAGGAAATGGTATGATTTCAGTAAAAGGTATCAATAAGTAGTATAATCCAAGATGGCTAATTGAACATATCTACCTGTTTGAGACCTTCAAGGTCTAAATCCCAGTAATAAGAATCCGAAAATTCATCAATGTCATCCTGTAATTTTGTCCTTGAAGCATCAGTGAGGTGGAGGAAGTACCTTCAAAAGTGGCCACAAGCGCTTTTCCGTTAGACGCAAACATTAAAGCACAAGAAACCCAAGGATCGATACCATAAGAAATTGTGCTCGGGCTCACTTTGGCTGCAAAGGAAGCATCTTATTTCGTGAACAACAATCTAAGATCCATGAAAAGTGGATGACATCTCGTTGACGCTTTGCTGCCTGAAACTTTATTCCTGAAATAGTATCTCATTATATGCTCTTTTACTAAAATTGTGTTTGTGAAGAACTCATGTGCACAAAACGGTTAAGTCAAAACAAAAAATTTAAGAGTAAAGAAGTGGCATACCACTGCTTTCCGCTGCAATGCAATGAGTCACTGAGTTATTTAAGTTCATTGAGAACTTTCCTCCATTCTCAACCACCATTTTGTGAAATGTATCAAGAGAATAGGACCGAGGCACATTAACAAAATCTGTAAGATTTGTCAAGGGGATAAATAAAAATGTAGTATGAAAAATTTGTCAAAATTTGCAAGTTCAAGTAGTTTCAGAACTTATCCATGTTAACAGGTGTCTAAATCTAATAGAGGAAGACAGCTGAAAATGCAATCGGCAAGAAAACGGTACCCGAGTGAGGATGAAGCAGAGAGAAGAAAACTCATTTCAAAACATGTCAAAGGATACAAAATATCATATTTGAGAAGACTGAGGTCTTGCCCTTGATATCCGATACATCAGTTTGAATAAACTGAGAAGGGACAAGAGAGACATTCTTTTTCTCTCCTCTCTTGGAGGATTTATTGACTTTCGGATTGTCCTGGGTGCTTTCAGTTTCCTTCTGTTTCTGTGTGGTGCCATTACTCGAGTTCACCAATTCCACAAAAGCTGCAAAGTCAACATCAGTCAGACATATAAAGCGGAAGCAAATCGGTTATTTTAACTTTCATGAAAATAGGAATATTTGGATAATTTCTTTGGATCTTTTTACTCACCCTGCACATCAAGACATTCATGCCAAGGCTTGTCATATCTTACTTTATCAATACGAGGAAATCTCAGACTGTAAGGTGCAACAAACACCTAAAAAATTACGCAGAGTTATACTTAAAATATAGCATGTGAATTATAAGCGACAAACCTAATTGCAAGATAACAAATTAAATTCAAAAAAATATTAGAGGTCACTAGCTAATCTTCACATTCTCACATCTTATTGACATACCTCAGACCTTATTGTCCTGATATCACTAGTGATTGAGAGTATAATTGATCTGCAACAAGGGAAGAGAGAAAATATATGAGCACGGAAAATAGTATTCAACAATCCAAATTCTTCTGCTTCAGTTGTGGAAAAGGAGATAATTGACAGAAAACTGACTTCTCCGGGCTTTCAATCCAAACATCTGGTCTCTCTTTTGAGTGATTTGTGACCTGATAGAAACTTGGTGGAGCCTTCTTTGGGTGTTCATTTTTTCTGAAACGCAAATACAATATGTGATAAATATTAAAGAAAGAAGCACAGTGTGCACATTGTCAATATATTATACCCAAAATCCTTCTACTTTTGATGTATGCCAATAGCTGTTCTCGTGAGCCATATTTTAGTGAGCATCTTTATTATATTTATATCCTTTTCCCCTTAACCTTGACTGATCCCATATAGTTTAATATTTTTTGGTTAAATGGATGAGAAAGCCAGTGATATGTTCTGTCACTCACCTGAAATAAGGCTTCAGTTTGCTTACAACAGTTTCAAGTTCATGATCAGAAAGTCCAGTGCCAACTCTACAAAAGGACATAAATCTGGAAAACGAAAAATAGCTTATCATTGATAGTTAGACCTGAAATGTCGGGGCAAACAACTAAAAAATTCTGATGTCATGTAACTCTAAAGTCTGCATGGCCCATGTTCTGTCAAGAGTGTTTCAGTAGTTTCTATAGATTATTTGATTTCATCTTCTATGAGAAAATGTGAAATCATAGAAATACTTACCGCCTGGGATACACATTTGCCTCTGCCCGGTCAGCCAATGCGACAAGAAACTGTGCTACCTCCCCTCCACGACGTCCGGAGCCATAGTATCCTCCTGGTAAAGATGTGACAAATCCCCAATAAGATACAATGAAATGGACACCACTTTTGAACAAGCAAAAGTAACACCATATAGAGTACAGACCTATTATAAGAACATCAAGGTCAGCACCAGCCCGGATATATTCAGGCTTCAACTTTAACCATTTGCCACTACGATCTCCAGGTTCCCATTTCCATCCCAGATCTTTAAGCACAACTCCTTCATCTCTGAGGACAAAACAAAAAATTGAATTGGAAACTAGAACACACATCTGTGAAGAAAATTATATTAAGGTCTCTGTATTAGAGGCTAGATTACACAAGGATCAGTGTTCACACAAAGCCAAGAAGGTACCATCCAAATGTTTTTCACCACTCATATTTAGTAGAGAGAGAAACTTTGGCTGGATTAAGAATAAGAATAATAGACCTGTTTTCAACTGTTTCTTTGAAAAATCGCTCAACATCAGCAGCAGCATGAACAACAATAGACCAACTAGGTTCCCCTGCAAAAAGAATGATGTTCACATCTCCATTTTTAAACGACTTAATGGTACCAGAAAAGATCAAATAGTTGTATTTAAGAGCTAAGAGACTCATAATGATACACAAGTTTACGAACATAGCACACTCTTAAAAAAAAAAAAATTATCATTGATTTAACTCTGTCACACTTGTCAACATTCCTGAGTCAACTAAGATCTTAGTAGTCCTTACCTGAAGGGCGGTGGACATTGAGACCACCCTCAGGTAATAAAACTTCGAGCCGACCTTTTAAAGGCTTGACTACTTTCCTCAGCAATTCATGCCGTTCCTTCAAACTCTGGTGGATGACGCTAGTATCGCCAACATAAAGAACATCAAAAGCAACATCTAGTACAAGGTCAAGGAAAAGAATATCTCTAAAGTCGTTTTTCCATGACATTCTGAAGTGGGGGTATTAACTTCTCCTCATAAGGATACAACACAACTGCATAAATAGACAAAAGAACATCAGAGTTTGTACTTGGATCCACAAACATTTTCACCAATATATAAAGTAAACACGTGGGACTTCGCATATGAACCTGTCTATGGCTGTCAAGACCCTCTCTTGCTGCCTTGGCTGTGAAAAAGAGTAATAGAAGTATCAAATCTACTGCATGTAAGACTAAGCTTTTCAACTTAAGGATATTGATTAGATTCGAAACCTATTTCCTGATTTGAACCAAACTCAGCAAACCGATTGAGAGATGTATCCCAGACCAACATTTCGCCATCAAGGATGCACCTAAATGACAATAAAAAGGAAATAAAAGGTAGTATATCTCATAATTTCAAGAATGTAAAACCTTTCAGAGCCTAAATAAACAGCAACTGTAATCTTACTTGTCCGCCAATATATTTTGTACAATAAGATTCGACATGGCATGTGCGTATTCAGAATGGTCGAGAAAGTTCCTGCACCATCACTAAAAAAAGTAAAGTGCAAATTCCTTATCTGTCAAAACACTAAGAGACCGATAGAGAACTTGAAAAAACAACTAAAAACAATTTACCAGAAAAGGCTTCTGGACACTAAGTCACAAAACAGTCATGAACTATGCCCCACGCAAATAAGATCTTTTATGTAAACATTTATATCAGGGTAAAAAAAAGAGATGTGAATCACCTAGAGAAATAATGTATCTCAGTCCCATTTTTGTGTATTTGTATGCGATCCCCATCAAATTTGCATTCAGCAACTACATCTTTCCCATGTAGCTATGCCGAAGAAAATAGAAATCCATGCATTGGTTAAAGAAATAAAACACCAATACAAGATATTAACAAAGAAAAAATATACTGCCAGTGAAATGGAGTAAGTTGACAATATATTTGGTGAAATTTGTACCTTCTTCCAAGCAGCATTTACATCACTGATACGCATAGCTAATTGTGGTCGTACGGCTTTTCCTACCTCTATATCCTACAATGTAACAACCAACCAAGCCACCACGTGAGAAAAAGTCATCGCACTGAGCAGAAATCAAAGAATGAGCAGTCAGATACATGAGGAAAGGCATATACTTTTTGGCGAGCATTGAAATGAACAGTAATTACCAGTCATAAACTGACAGACTATTCAAAAAAGGCTGATTGTATATTTTGAAATTTCTCGAAATCAATTGTATCTCAGGGAAATGAACAGTAGCGTGTAGGTTGTCATTCAAGTATCTATCATAACAAAAACCTGGCGCTTGTGCCGTTGGTGTCGATCCCTCAACTTTTCACAAACTAGCTTCAAGTCACATGTGACATTAAACAAGTCCTCAGCATCTGGATGGAACTCCTGAAAGATGCTCTTCTCGCTCATCCCCAGTTTCAAATCTGTAAAGCATTTCCCAACAAATCAAAATTTCTAATTGATTTCAATAAACTGAAAGAAAAAAGATGAAAACTTTATTTGAAGAAGCTGAAAAGTTCCTACCTTTTAAAATTATCCTAATGACCCACTTCATCTCCTGAGCATTTGTCTTCTGAATCAGAGTAGAAAGAACCAAAGTTTTCTCCGCTCTGTGTTACATAAATTTCCAAACCAAAACAAGAGAAGAGAGTAAATAGAAACAATTGATTCTTTATGTAAGTGTAAGGATCAGAGAAAGCACCTGTTCTCACTTGAAGCTAAACGATCAAGCAAATCATTTAATTCCTTAATAGTCAAACCACCCGAAGCCATTCCTTGTCTACGTTGCAGTACCTATTCTCCCAAAATGTTCAAAAACCCAAAATCCCTAAAACCCAAAACCCAGAAACTCAAAAAAAAAAACCCCTAACCTCAGCAGCAATAAGGGAAAAGTTTCCAGCATTGGCACCAGCTTTAGCGGTTCCTCCCTTACGCCAATTGAGAAGACGAACAGCGTCAGGAGCGTCACGAGAGATGCCAAGGGCGTCGATCAGACACGTGGCGAGCACAGACTCCTTGAGACCGTAGCTACCTCGTTCCCGGTCAAGCGACGGAATGATGAGTCGTACAGCGACGAAGTAGTCTGAGGGTTTGCAGTAAGTGTCGAGAAACTTGCGGAATTTGGAGCGTTTCTGAGACGAAGTTTTGCTCTTTTGAATCCAGTTGAAGAGAGATACTAGAACGCTGAATTTGATCTCCTCCGTCATCTTATTTCGCCGGAATTATCGGTTCCTGCTGAGACAGCGGTTGATTAGGGCAAAAGATTGTCGGAGAATCACTGAGCAGCGTCGCGAATTGCTTGTCGGAGAAGAAAGTCGCGTTTGAAAAAGTCACACGGCCGGCTTGTGTTAAAATTGACAGGGACGCTTGTCTTCTCTCCCAGTGGGACTGTTTACTCTGAATTACACATTTGGCCCGAATCTTAATTAATTGATCAATTCAGTCCAGTGTTTACTAAATCAAATTAGCAAAATATTGTAAAACATTCTAAATAGTTTAAAACGAACTACTATTTTGATTTTGTTACCGGTGAAATGATATCAGAAAGTGGATTGACAAACAATCTTTATTTTTTTTTACAAGTACTGAGAATGGGACTGTGCTACTACAATGGGTACAATTTGCTCTGGTGGTATGAACAACTTACAACTAGTCCCAAAAACTATTTGATTGAACATGAGCAATTGGCTTTTTAAGGGAATATAAATTTTAAAAATGAGAGCTTTAAGATCTACAGCTTTTGAAATCAATAAGCAAACAGTTGTAACCCAAGCTTCATCACAAGGTTGAATTCGCTCCATGTTTCAGAATGTTGATCCGTTGTAACCAAAGAAGGGTCGCTGCAAAAAACAAATCCACGGATTGTGATCATTGATCAAGTTATAAAACATCTTTAGACATTCAGAACACTGTGCTTTCACCAAAGCATCATGCTTTTAACTTGATGCAAAATGAGACTTACCGGGGAATCGTAGAATTTGATATAAAATCTGGAGCTATCAATAGAGAGCTTAATCTGGAGAATCTCAGATATCGTCTCGCTAAGCTTCCCGTTTACACCTGGTCCTAATCCCCCAATAGATATTAATTCTCCATATGCAGCGGGTTCCTCTGTACCAGCAAATGCAATGGGCACTCCACTATTAAGCAGTATCATCACATACTGAAAGCAAAGACGAACAAAACAAGTAATGTATGATTAAACGGTATCTCATAAGTTAAGTCCACAATACAAGCTTGAGAATCCTTCTACTCATACTTCAACATACTATTAATAAAATAAAAAATGGTATATCTAAGGAAATTCTCAAGAATTTAGTTCTGATGACTTGCAATTCACAGAGGACTTTCACCAAACACTTCGTGTGCATATATAACAGCAACATCATGAATCTAATCAAAAACTGAAAATTTACATCCTACACTTTAGTTAAAACCCTGAATAAGAAAAAAGGTTAACAAAAGTGCTTAACCGATTCATGAATATTGCGTAGAAATGGCGGGAACAGAGGGGGAACAAAGTTAAATACGGATTCAGGTTTGCCGATGATCTTAGCGACGGCCTTAGTAGCGTCCTTGAGGATGTCGGAGCAAGTGACGGCGTCGACTGGTATGTTCGTGAAAATATTCAAAGTGGGCATCTTCTTGTTTCTATTCTCCCTTTTTCCCACAAATCAAAAACCAGTGGCTTTCGGATATGGTGGAAGTTGAGATAACGGTGGTAACGAGAACTTACCAACCATTTATTTTCAATGCTAATTTTTATGAAATTGAAATCAGACCAAAACTATACCAAACCGGAATTATTTGGGCCTGTTATTCGGCCCATTACACGTGATTTACAGTACCAGTAGTTTTTTTTCTTTTCTCTTACAATTCGGAGGGGACCAATAGAGTTGTGTCGATTTTTTTTTTTTTTTGGAATCAGCATGGAGAATCATGCAATGGCATAACTCTTTCATCTTTTGCCTTTCCATGCTTATGATAAGCTTTTTAACCTTTTTGTTTTGGATCCAAGGAAGGAGTAATGGACAAAAGAACAATTAGTTATTTATCAGATAAACTGTGTGTAGACTTTTAAGTAGCTCACCAGTTAACTACTTTAATATTTTCAGTAAAAATTCTTAAAACTTGAGTAGCCATTTACATAGTCAATACAAAAGTGTATTGTGATTTTTTTTCTGTACATACTGCTTTTAGTACTAGATTTCATCAATCCAACATATATCTTTCGGACTGTCTATATTCTATCTAGTTAGTTAGATGTCAGGTTTGTCTGTTTTCCTTCTTTGGTGGTTTCAAAAGTTTATCATATAAGCATGGAAGGCAAAAATCTGAAAGAGTTATGCTATTGCATTATTACCCATGCTGGTTAAAAAGATCAAATTGCATTCCAAATTTAGGGCAAGACATAGTTTCAATGGTCCCCTCCAATGTGCTAGAGATGAAAGAGTTCACTTGTTGTTTGTAACTATTTGGGTTACTCTTCATCCATGAGCCAATTGTTATAAATTTTTATGCGTTCCCATTTTCCAGATCTGCCTAGTCTCATATATATTTGGATTTTTCTTAGCTATAAGTGTTTTCATTTTACCTTGACCTTTTAAATAGTCGATTTAGTTACTTTTAAGTTCTTACTAGCATATATATAGAACAAAATTCTATTGTGTCTATACAGTACATGCAGTGTTAAATGATTGTTTTTCAACTTACGATTTAATGTACATACAAATTCATTGGATTCATGTTTCGAGATTAGCCTCTATACGTCTCTATATGCTCTTACATGAACTGTAAACTCGATTGAAAAAACTTGAATACTATAATGACTGAACTATATATATGAATGATGAATATACGCTTAGAGATTGTAATAAACATAAATAGAATGTCCGTCCGTGAGATAGTACGATATCTAAATGACTGAATGAGTGGTTAAAATGGGGTTTTTATAAGATGGTATATATGTTTTTTTTTTTTTTTTTTTTGTGTGTGTTTATTATTAGGGATAACAATATCACACGTTGGAAGTTGACTAAGATCTTAAGTGGTATATATAAGATATGGGCCTCTCCACTCATTGCCAATTGGTTTTAGGTTGGAAGCCCACAATCTAATATGGTATCAGAGCCCGGTCCGCAAAAACTCAACCCAATCCACAATCGGTTTGGCCCAATAGTTGGTCCACCGATTCATGCCCGAGCATACCGAGATTTATGGCAAAAAAAAGCCATCATCTCGAGGGGGCGTATTAGGGATAACAATATCCCACATTAGAAGTTGAGTAGGATCTTAAGTGGTATATATAAGATATGGGCCTCTCCACTCATTGCCAATTGGTTTTAGGTTGGAAGCCCACAATCTAATATTTATAAGATCAGTTTAATTTTCGTGAATCTTCTATGATATCTCGTGTGGTTTGTGTTAACTTATAGTGTAAGAACAAAAGATTATAAGACCCACTAGATGTGGCCGAAATAACTACATGGTAAGATAATTGTGTAAACAAGTTGTTCACAATGTCCATATGAAAATAGTTTTGAAATTTATAGGACAATCAGAATTATGACATTCGAAGGTTTTAGCACAGCCGCATCCTTTCTAATTACGTGTAAAGTCATCAAACTCTGAGTTATAAAACATTGATAACGACAGTCAAGAGATCTCTCTTTTTATTTCAATAAATTTCTTAATAAATGCCACTTTTTTTTTTTACATTTATACTTTTTACAATCTTCGTGTTAGCTAGTCACGTTATGTAATCCATAATCTTTTTAAAATCCACATTAAAGCCAAACTCAAATACGTACGTCTCACAACTGGATAAAATAGTCACATACACATGTAGTTCTATCTAGTTAATCAATCAAAAGATTTAAAAGATTTTCAAAAAGTTACCGAAGCAAAATAGAATGAACAGGCTCTAGTCTCTACCTAGTGTAACCTTGAAGTAGTATCCGGGTATAAAGTACTTCAATCAGACATGCTGCGACGATTGAAATTATTAGAGTACTTTTATCCACGCAAACTTTTATGGGAAAAAAGGGGTAAGAATTAGTAAGGAAATGGAAGAGAGGTCACATGTTGTCATAAGAATAACATAAGAACAAAACTTACTTTGGAGCAGTGCCATAACAAGATTTATCCTGTCTTTTTTTTTTTTTTTTCTTTCTCTTCTTGAGGTTCAAATTCTCTCCAGCACACCTTTCTTTAGATAAGAAAAATTCTCTACATTTCAGTTTTCTATAAAGATTTTTTCTTTGTGAACCGACTGCTCTTATTAAAATATTAACTCGAGTTTTAAATTCTTAGAAAAAAAAAATCAGATTGGTTTTATATTCAAAGTTCTTTCTACTATCAGTATGCATATGTGGTATGTGAACCATATTGAACTGAAATGAGTCCAACTGCAAAATTTCGTCTCTGATTATTAGACTTCAAATTTTGGTTTTCGTAGTCCAGTAACATTATCAATTGAAATATATAATAGACGATCCGTATGTGATCAATTTTAAGCATATATATATATATATATATATATATACTATTCTTTTGTCATATTTTGGCTGTGGATATTTTTTATGGGCATATATTATCTTATTCAATGATTTTTTTCATCTGGATATTTATATACCCCCGCCCCCCCTAAAATAAGCAAGGAAACCAAGCAGGTATAAAAAACAGACCAATTATATAATAATAACATGTGTAACTTTTCGTTGTTGTCATTTTACCTATATCTCAAGACTCGCTGCTAATATATGAATATAAAGTACAAATTGTATTAGTGAAACAATAACATCTGATTTAAATGAATTAGTATGAGGAAAACTCGAATAAAAACTTGACAATAGATATACAAACTGTAGCTAATCGCCTAATCCTACAGTTTTTTTTTTCTGTTTATAAGTAGTAGATATGCAAGTTACTTATTAGGATTTTTTTTTTGTTAAGTACATATCGTCACAATGTTTAAATTGGGAATTTTGATTTAGTCGGACATGCTCGTGGATATCATCTCCTATAATAAGTATGTACGTAATATCTAACATAAATAAATTTCTGCGTCAAACATGGTTGTGAATAGTTCCCAACTCGTTTGCAAGCCCATCATATATAGTAGTAATTATTATTTTTAAAAAAATCAGCTTGTTGGAGTAGATAAGCACTTAATCTATATGAAAAAAAAAAAAAATCAATATGTCAGATTGTTTCTTAATAGATGAGAAGTTAGGTCGGGCACTAAGTGACATATGCGATATAAAACTTGTATCATCTGATTCGAACTTCATTTTGTGTGTGCAATGTATTATGTTAAGCAAATAAAGGATCAAGCTCCAACTGCTACATGGAATTAGACCCCTATTAAGTTTCTGTTGTATTTTTAAACTTACTTTTGTATGAGATTTCTAATGTAATTAAAATTAAACATTTCCAATATCTATATAAGAGAGAGATATAATTATATATTGTTAAATAGAAAGAAAAGCTAATATCTAAGCAGGAGCCATTGAACGTAATGAGGTAAACGTAGGTTTAGCTTTCGCCACAAATTACTTCAAATGATACCAAAAAGGTTCCAATCATTTTTTCTCTCACACACACGAAATCCACTAGCCCACCTCTTTCTCTCTCTCACTACACTTTTGTTTTAAATTATATAATTACAAAATTATTATTTAAATATTTTGTAGTTGTAAGTACTACAATATTGTGAGCTAGCTCCTAGTAATAATATACAGCCAAATTAGTAATAGCTATTTAATTAACATTTGTATTATATTACGGCCGTTACTTTTCTATTGTTTGTTTTGCCAAAAACGTATGAAAAAATAATTTGATGGTCAACCATAATTAAAAAATAATACTCCAATGTTTCTATATGCATATATATCCCAAAAAAATATTATCTGGCACAAAATTTTAGATAAGAAAGCATCAAATTTTGCTAATGATTTTTTCCTCAAAACATGCTTTAATTAGTCAATTTGAAAAACAAAAGTCATTAATTAATTAAAAAACGAAGTTACTAAAGTCGGTTACGAAAGAACACGTGAAAACTTCTCCGACCAGGCGACCACAATCAGTTAACAGAGAAACTGCCACGTCATCAACGAAATCTAATGGAGCCAATGAATAAATGCCACGTCGATGGATAAGGTGACCTTTCCTCGTTTTCACTTTAAGATCCCAAAAAGATTTGCCAGGTTTGGATGATAATGATGATGATGTGGTTTTTACATTTTATTTTTGGGAAATTATAATCTAAAAACAGAATCATATCTCTAGACTCTAATACCATTGACTAATGATTTTTAGTCCCTTAACAGCCTGAACTAAACACTCGACGTTTTACTGGGTTATAAGAAATCAACAAGAATTGAACATCATAACACAGTTAAAATTTCTTTCACAAAAATTCACAGATATTATTACAGAAAATATCAACGATTTTTTTTTTTGTCTAGAATTCATATCCTATTAAACTTCTAGATATCATAAAAAAACGTATACCAAAATACAGGTTCACCTTTGTTATAGAAAATCCGAGTTTACTGTTTAGACTAAAAAGTATTTCATATTCTAAACATTTTGGACTTTAATACATATATCATATATGTTAGAGACTTAGCACTTAGTTAAAAGAGCTCAAAATAATAATATTTGCAAATGGTGGAATTCCGCTTAATTTAATATGGCAAAACTATATTTTTGATGAAATCATCCACAAAATACTTATTTACATTCACATTATAACTGATCACCATAATATTATTTACCACTAGTTTGATATTCCAATGTTTAGAAAAAAATATGTAATATAATTTTGATAAATTAAACTACAAAATATTTATTTTTGCTAATGATCGATCGCCATCACATTATGTATCATAAGATAAAAGTACCTATTAACCTTTTAAATTTTTGAGTAACTTTTATTTAATATGACAAAAAGAATAATTTTGATAAATTAATTCATTATTTTTGTCTCCATTCGAATTATGATTGATCGCCGCCATATAATTTACCACAACATCAATGATCCGGCTAATAGTTTTAAAGTTTGAGTAAATGTTCTCAGATTAACCTGTAAAATAATTATATTATATAATGTGACAAAAAATTTAATAAATCGATACACGACAAATTATTTTCATTCAAATTATGATCGATCGCCACCATATTACCTATACTTATATTTAGATTGATAAGCTAATTAGTTTTGAATAATTGTTAGCTAATGTGAAACACAAATTAATAAATTGATACACGACAAATTATGATCGATACACAACAAATTATGATTGACCACCGCCATATTACCTATAGTTATATTTAGAATGATGAGCTGATTAATATTTATTAGTTTTGAATAAATGTTAGTTACTGTGACAAACAGATTAATAAATCGATATACGACAAATGATTTTAATTCAAATTTATGACCGATCGCCGCCACAATCTTTATTTAATTTTTGTTCAACAATAAATTCTAATCTTTTCATTTTTTATGTTTTATTGTCTTTTAGAGCTCTGAAACATTTTTTCAATTGTTTTGCTTGAAAAACTAGTATTCGATAGCTCCAATTTTGTAATTGTTAAAGTAAAACAGTATATAAAAAAAAAGAGAGTGTGATTTAATATTTACTGTTTTACGTTGATTTAGACACCAGTCATTGAAGATAATAATCCAACTTTCTCAAGCGTTTTTTTTTTAATAACAAATTTTTTTCCTTGTAAAATCATTGCTCTAAAAGGGAAAAAAATCCCCCAAAAAAGAACTTAATTCGTGGGAGAATCCATATCCATAAGAATTAAGATAAAATATCGTTTAAACAAATTTAAAAAAAAAAAAACGAGTAAAATTGAAGAGAAAAGTGAAAAAAATCCACAAGTGGAGCCCATGCATTCCAGAACTGGCGAGATTACGAGCTATCTTCTTCTCCGCTCTCTCCCCTCTTTCGTCTTCTTCCCATCACTCCCCTCTCTGTCTCTCAGTGAAACCGAAACCATACAAACTTCACTATACTTTTTTTATTTTTACATACATACATAAAAGAGCTCCTCTCCTCTTCCTTCAAGATTAACCTCTCACTTAAAACCCTACTTACTCTCCCTCCCTCTCTTATATATCTCGTGACTCTTCTTTTCTCCTCCATTCTCTCTCTCCCCCCCCTTTGTCTTCCCCAAACCCAATTAGCTCCTCTCTGCTAAAACTCCACTCGTTGGCCAATTCCCATCTAACCATATCTCAGATTCCCTAATGCGTTTTGATTTTTCTTAGTATTTTCCTTTCTTAGCTTCTTTCCTTTTAATTCAATGATGAACGAAACATTTGTTTCAAGAATCTTTTCTTTTCTCCTTCCTCTTTCTCTCAAGTTTTGACCTTTTTTTTTCCCTTCAATTTTGTATTTTCTCAGTGGGTTTTAAGGGTTTATTATTATAACCTTAAAATTAAACAAATTTCCCTAACCAAAACCAGAGTATAAGCTTGATTTTCATCACTCTCTCTCCCCCACTCACAAACAGTAAAAGTTCTTACAATCTCCAAAGTTTTGGTCTTTTTCTCTCTTTAACTTACTTACTCCAACAATTCTGTGATTTTTGTTTGTTTTCTGATAATTTTCTCCGGAATTAAAAAAAAAAAATCTCATTTTTAATATTTTCCGGCAAAGAAAAAAATGACGGCTTGTATAAGCAGTGGCGGAGGAGGAGCAGCGGCATACAGTTTCGAGTTAGAAAAAGTGAAATCACCACCGTCAAGCTCAACAACGACAAGAGCTACTTCACCATCATCAACACTCTCGGAATCATCCATCGCAATCTCAACGAGGAAGCCAAGAACGCAGCGCAAAAGACCAAACCAGACTTACAACGAAGCAGCTGCTCTTCTCTCCTCTGCTTACCCTAACATCTTCTCCTCAAACTTGTCCTCTAAGCAAAAACTCCACTCCTCTAACTCTCACTTCTACGGGATTGTCAAATCCCCTCTCCTCAGTGACAACGATGACGCCTCTGATTTGCTCCTCCCTTCCGAATCCATCGAAGAACCGGACTTTCTTTTCCCCCACCCGACGATCCAATCCAAGTCTGAGTTTTTCTCCGACCAGAAAGAAGTTACCTCCGGTGGGACTTACGGTGGTGGACTTGCTGAAATCGAAAAGCTCGATTTTTCCGACGAGTTCCATGCTGAATCGATCCTCGATGAAGAAATCGAAGAAGGGATCGATAGTATCATGGGGGCTGTGGTGGAACCGAGTTTGGAAGCTAGGGTTCCGGGACTCAACCGCGGCGGTGGAAGAAGCTCTAGTCGAATCGGGAAATTAGAACAGCAGCTGATGATGATCAATTCATGGAACAGAGGCTCCAACGGATTCAAACCAGCTGCGAATTTACCATTGGGACTCGGGTTAAGAAGCTCTCTCAGAGACAAAGATGACCAAAACCTGTACAAATTTCACACCGTCGATTTCGAACAGATCTCGCCGAGGATTCAAACCACCGCCACAACCGAAACCGCGATCGCAACCGTCGACAACGCTGAGAAACCGATTGGAGTGGAGAAGAGCAAGAAGACGACGACGAAGAAGAAGAAGAAAATGACGGCATTGATCACTGAGTCCAAGAGCACGGAGGAGACGACAACGGAGGAGACGACGAGTCAGCCGAAGAGAGCAACGACAGGTCCATTGCTGAAGCTTGACTACGACGGCGTTTTAGATGCTTGGTCTGATAAAACGTCGCCGTTTCCTGATGACATCCTCGGCCTGGAACCTGCCGACGTCAATGTATGTTTTAAACAACAACTCTTTTCATTAATCTCGCCGTTAAAATTCGATATTTTCTATGTTTTTCTTTAATTAATGATTTTTAGTAATTAGTTTGTCTGATACTTCTATTAATTAATTATTTCGAAACTTATTATATTTCGGGATTCTGTTCTAACTAGTTATATACTGCCACGTGGCTCTTTAGGAGTGTGGTCTTCGCAATTAGTAATTTATTAGCTATCCTAGTTTTTGAAGTAAGTAGACTAGTATCTGACAAGAATTTATTAATTTTTTTTCTGTGTGGAAAGTTCTTAATAACTTTTTCTCGTAACGTTTTTTTTTTATAAAAATAATTAATAACCCTTTGACTTTGGTTCATGGTCTTTTTACTCTCTTTTTTTTTCCTAACTTTGTTTTAAGTTAGAAACGTTTTTTTATTTTTGTTTTCTGATAAAACTTTCAATCAATTATCTAAATTATAAAAGCTGCTTTTTATTTCTCCAAGGAGAGCTTTATAGACCTGTGCACGTGAATTTTCACGTATAGGATAAATGAAGAGGTTACAAAATATAATTTTGTATATATCCACTTTGTTAGAATTACTCGTTTTAGCATATAGGCTACTCTTTTTAGCACATTGATTGGTGTTTTGTGATATTTGTTTGATGTTGGAAATGAACTAATGTGGACTTTGTGTGTGTGTTTTGGGGGCAGGCTAGAATAGCTCAGATAGATCTGTTCGGAGACAGTGGAATGCGAGAAGCAAGTGTTTTGAGGTACAAAGAAAAGCGTAGAACTCGTCTGTTTTCGAAGAAAATCCGATACCAAGTTCGCAAACTCAATGCTGATCAACGTCCTCGAATGAAGGTATCCCAACCATCTTAATTCGTGGTTAAAACAACATGTAGGTTTTTTTTAAACCATTTGCTTCAATTGTTTTATACCGGTTTTTGAAGATTAGTTTTAGTTGTTTTTCTATGCATTTTTTTAAATAAAGATGAAATAAAAGCTTTCTATTGGGTGTCTATCTTTCATTCAAAATGAACAAGGTAAAGGACCAAGATTTAGTACCAAACCGAAGGTTGAATATTCCAAGCATTAAACAAATATTTTGATTACTTACATCAAAAGTATTAGTATAAAAACTATCATATAAATGGAAGAAAAGGTTAATTGTGCAGACAACAAACCAAGTAATAAAACGTTAGATTGGGGTCAAGGGATATATATGAATACATTGGATTTGATTAAGACAAGAACCTAATATTAATGTTTCACTTCTTTTTGTGGTTGGTGTTGGGATGGGAACAGGGACGATTCGTGAGAAGGCCCAATGAGAGCACTCCAAGTGGACAAAGATAACCAAGGATAAAAGAGCCTAAAAGATTCATTCCTTTTATCTTTTTCTTCTTTTCTCTTATTTCTCTGTTTATTCCTTTTTTAGTTTTGTATTAAAAATTTTGGCACCCTTCTTTTCTTTTTCTTTATTTATGATCCCTTTGGTTTATAATTTAGTTTATTTTTGTCCTTAACTAAGGATTATATGAGGGATCAAAAGGAATTTATAAATAAAATATTGTTATTGATTAAAAGATAACTATTGAGGATTTTATTACTCATGAAGCAATGAATGTGGGAGTTTTGTTGGCCCAACAACAAAACTTTCAGAGACAAGACATGGATTGTTCACCAATCCCAATGGCTCAAACTATCTTAGTAGCCTTGACACTTGTTGTTTCATTACCCCTTTGCTTGTTTGACTCATCAAAACAGAGAAAATCACACACTTACCATTTTCCAAAGACCATATATTGTATCACGGGGATATATAACTTTTAGCTTTAGGACTGTGTTGTAGAATTATCAACATCATCATTCGTAATATGTAGAGGTTAAAGTCACACCCCTTTCTTACCAAAGGAGGTACTTGACCTCATTCATGTTTTTTTTCTTATCCTTACAAGTTACAACAAACAAATATCTCATCCTCATGAAATGTGTAATAGAGAAAAAAGGATTGGTAATGCTTTTGTCCCTCAATGCAAAGTCATAATGTAGCCAAAGAAGGAGGCCGGGAGGTTAGAGGTTGGAAAGAGCAGCTCCAGAGACGACTCAGCTTAAAATAGTCTCAGCTTCCGGTAATGTCCCGGAGTAGAATCCGACAATGAGTTGACCATAAGCCAACTTTGTCCCTTTTCATATAGAAAAGCAGGTTTCAAAAATAGAACGCGCTTCACAAGAAATGTGTAAAGCTTACTCATCATATATATAATACCGATATATCATTTGTTATATACAGTGTTATTATGCTGAAACAAACTTATATCGAACCAAATGATCCAATCAATTCAGGGGTAGAGAGATTCAGGCCAATGTCCTTGTGGAGACACCTAGTTGCATTCCAACACTAACTAGTGTCTCTAAGGACCTACCACTATTAACCAAGAGATCCTCATCAATCCGGATCGAGTCCTGCAGAATGTGTTAAGTGAAAAATATAAGGTTGATGCATGCATTTATTATAAAAGCATAAAATTGTTCTCAAGCTTAAAAAGATTATTATACACTAACCTTTTCGAAGACGCATATAACAGTGCTCCCACCGAAAGAAAAATAACCAAGCTGCAAGTAAAGTTTAAATGAGGTTAGAAACTTTTTCTTGGAAGTGTTTTCTTGAGAAAAGTTGAAACTGCTTACTTCGTCCCCTTTCTTCACACGCTCTCCTTCCTTCCTAACAAAATTGATGCTACCTACCATTGTTGCACCGATTGCAACAAAAGCTACCTGTTACACAGACTTATTAGCTGACATTGATGTTATCAAGAAAGGAAGCTTGTGAGTACTATACTGGTTACAAACCTTTCCAAACTCTGCTGTTGATATAATGGCAACGGTCCGTTTATTTTCCGTGAAAACATTACAGTACTTGCTATTGACCGCAATCGGGTTAACCTACATGCAAGGTGTTTCATCAAGAAATAAAATAGTGAGTGGATAAGAAAACATGATGGAGATGAGACAAGATCTTGGACTGAGTAAAGCCAGACAGATGTCACAGCCACATACCGTGTATAAGCTTCCAGAAAGATCCTCAAACTTTTCAATGACTCCTGAGACAGGGACATGAAACCTATGATAGTCCTGTAACATTGTCAAGAAATGCGTCAGTCAACTGTGTAGTGATTTAGCCTATAAATCTGTGTCTCAATAGGAAATATCCAGTCTCGCCGCACCTGTGGTGCTAGTCTGAATATCACCAAAGATCCATCAAGAAAGGCATTTGGATTTACAGTCTTCCCAAGGAGGCCTCTAATTGAAAACTTTCGGCCCTATGACAATGCAGAATCAATACAAACAAAAATATTAGGATGTGTTGCAACTTATTAGCTACTTCATTTGTTTAGAGAGTCTCTAATCTTGCATCATAACTATATAGTAAGTTACACTAGAGACAATTTTGTATACCTTGATCCAAAATCGGGTGCTATCCTCCACCGACTGAAATGCCATTAATCGACAATCAGCAGCAGATACGGCAACATCATTGCGGTTCATGCAAGCAATTGGTCTTGCACCAGGTTTCAGTTCCCGGATGAAGAATTCATTGAACGTCTGCAAGTAAAAACTCATCATTCTTTTATACTTAGTCACTTTCTAATATTGCTTTCATGGGAAATTCTTACTATTAGTCTATAAATCAGATCCTAACATACCTTAAAATGCTGCAGAGGATACTTGACTTCAGCCATGTTTATTTGATCCTGTAACAGAAAATAATCTTAATCCCAAACCCAACAACAAAGCAACACAATATAGCTTAGTAAATAGTAACTTTCCATGCCTTAAAGAACTCGAGGAAGCTTGGTATCTTTTGGGCAGATTCAACAGAGTTCATTTTCTTCCCCTGCTTCTCAGAAAGTCTCTGCAGAATCTCCTTTGCCCCTGAGTCAACAAGAACAATCAAGCATACGTAGTTGTGTTATTTTTTTAGATTGCATCATGGCGAGAAATTGAAGAGTTTAGGCACAACAAAACTGTGAAGTGACACAATAGGTTAGAAAGGTCATGAGCATTTCAGAGGTAGTAGTCCTAAATAGTGTACCTTGATCCATAAGTCGAAGCCCAATTTTGGACTGGTAAATAGCTCTCATGGAGAGAACAATCTTTGAGTCAATCAACTCTTCCACAAGTCTCTTACTCTTCCGGTCAATCACCTAAAGCAAGAAGCAATAATACACGTTATTAAAGTGAAAACAAGAAATACAAAAGTTAATGAGAGTAACAAAAGAGGATAGTGGGATACCACAATATGTGAAGCACTTGAACCAGTATTCAAACCAACATCATAGGTTGATAAGTGTGTCCATTCACTTAGTTTGAACATCCATCTGAACAAAACGTTGAATATATGATGTGGCCATAACTCATAAGGGATGTCAATAATTTTATCTTAAGAGATGTCTGTTAAATAAAGAGACTTCTCACCCATACGAAGCTTGTCTATCAGTCAAGAACCCTCCTGTCATCACTTGATTACCGGTTCCTTCGTCAAAACAAAGAGTCATATGAATCATCGCGTTGAGCTTGTCAGAGAGTTGAGCCTCTCCACACACCGGGCAGTTATTTATAATTGGCTCCCTGCATTAGAGAGTTCAAATTACTAGGATTCTAGAAGGTATACATTTGATTGTTATGAAAAGAAAATCTAAAAAAATTGAAGTGACTTACTTTTCTTGTTGAAGAGCAAGAAGTGCAGCCAACTCGTCAATCGTTACAACACCGTCACCATTTAGATCAGCAGCTCTGAACAACTCCTCTTTCTGGTAAATAAGTCAGTGAAAACATCAAGTCCACCTTCAGCAGAAATGCAGCAATCTAGCATCTTGATCTGCTGAGCGGCATAGTTTTATTATACTTAAACACTAATTGAGTAAAAGAGAGAAAAACTCATGTAATCCACTAATATGACATAAGTGACAAATATGCTTTAAAGTCGAACCTTTTTAGCAGCTACTAAGTTTCCAAAAGCCTTCATTAGATCAGAGAACTCCGAAAATGAGAGTTGCCCATCTTCATTGTAGTCCTGCACTTTGTTAAAGAACTCCAACTATCAAAACTGTTTGATTCTAATATTCTACAAAATGTTGTTTAAGAGAAGCAAGAAACATTGAATTGTGCCATACATAGAGAGAACATACTGTAATAGATAAGAGAGAGGAAGGTCTAGGCAACGCATACCACTATGGACAAGATACGCTTTGCAAACCGCTTTTCAGTTTCAACAGGATCCTGTAAAGGTTAAGCAACCAAACATCAGACACCTTTGCTCATTCATTTTCTCAAAGTCTTTTCACTAGCGTGTACCTCAATAGCGCATGAAAGGAAAATGGTGCCAACAACTTTGGATGATGTGGGATCTAACAAGTCAAATGACTTACAAGCCGACTCAGGTTCCTGTTTATCACACCAAATAAAGCTAATAAGCAGGGAGTTAAATAATCTTGCAACATCCCACTACATGCACCATTATCTAATAAGAAAACAAGAATTTTACATAATACATATTTGAACTGCTGACCTGCACTACAAAATCGAATATATCAAGCTCACAGTAACCAACGATTTTGTTGCTCGAGAGCCTATTAGTCTGCATCAAGAAAGGATGATCCTTTTAACTACACTATTAGTCAAAGAAACCATATCATAAGTAAACTGAAAATCTGAGTAGTAAGAAGAAACCTCAAATACAGAGACCCTAGCGAGACTTGGTCCATTCTTCTCCAAAAGAAGCTTCTTTTCCTTAAAAAAAACAGAAAAACAGAATACCAGATTTAGCAGAAAGAAACAGAACCAAAGTACAAGACACGGTTCCGAACGACTTACAGAGTTCCAAATTGGCTTCTCTGTACTGCAAAATTATCAGAAACAGAACACTTTTATCAATACTCCTTGGAACTTAAAAAGAATAAAAATTTGAAAAGCTATGAACGTATTTGGGAGAGACATACGTATCTGAGATTTCAGTTCTGAAGGTCTGTTCTCCGAACGAGACACAACCAAGCCACTTGTCCTTAAACTTCATATCCGCCTGAAGAAGAAAAATTAACAAGCCAGAAACAAAACTAAAACATCACATCACACTATTATTCACTATAAGCACCAAAACGTAAAAACGCAAGAAAATATAAAACCGTACGCCGAGAAGAGTGAGAAGGGCAATGCCGGAGAAATCCTCGGCGGTAACAGCTCTTTGATTCACCACTCCGGCCGAGTTTCGAGAACAACGTAGATGACGACGGTTAGTGTAAAACTTCTGAAGCTTCTGTCGTAGCCTTGCCCTTCGCGACCCCTTTGCCTCCCTTGAGTTTCCGTTTCCCATATTCTTTTTAACGGATCGGAGATTGAGGAAGACGAAGGAGAGAGAGAGAGAGAGAGAGAGATTAAAGAAGAGCTCTTTATATTCTCTGACGTTGACCAAAACTGTGACCGTCTCTAATATTTATATTGCAATATGGTCTGTACTCTGTTATGGACTTTGCCAAAGTGGCTCTTTTTTATTCGACTCTGTTTTTAATTCTTTTTTGATTCTGCTCTGTTTTTATTTAAAAAAAATGATAAAGATAGGAATAAAAATGGGAATTTTATTTTCAGTGGTCATCCCTCTTCCACCTTCTACGTTAGGGAACGTTTTTGCAATTTTCTATACTAATTGAGCATATATGTAAAGAAATTCTTATATTATTTTTTTCCTTTGTAAAGTTGTTATAAGCATATAATGATCTACTTAGCAGTCAATATAATGTGTCTCGTATACTATGTACTCGTTGATATAATAAATAGTCTCAGATTGAAGAAACAAGGTTTGAAATATGTTGTTATATTGGACCTGGTCTAAATAAAATAGTCTCTTTGGTACTTACTTGTGTTGTAAAGCGTGCGAGATTAGTTATAGACTCTTGCATCTGATTCTATTGGCAGTCAAAGCTGTTCATTGTTGATTTTATCAAACAGGGGAAGAGATGGAGATACGTTTTAAAAAAATAAAATCATTTATATAATGAAATAATTGAACAGAGATAACAAGAAACGAGTAGAGTTTGTTATATAAAGCATGTAAAAGCAGACACATATTATTAATTTTCTTTTAAACGTGTAATACTGATTTTCTCTAGCGCATCCAAACATTAGAAGAAGAACGTGAACATTTTTAGCTTAGTTCAAAATGGAACTCGAGATTTTTCAAACATACGTATAAAGAAGGCAAATCTAAACCATACTTATTAGATACCACAATTTAACTGAGAGAGGTTATAAGAAGGAAGAAAAAACTCACGTCGCTTGGACAATACATTTAACTGTTGAAGCTTATTTAGGATAGTAATGACGTCGGAGTTGCCGTCGTGTATGAATCACGGATTGTCCACATTAATACAATAGAATAACTTGTAATATAATAAAATAACATGATAATCACGGATTATCCTCATTTACGAAAGATATTAATGTAGTTTTTTGTTTTTTTTTTTCATCACTCGTATTAAGTCAAATTAGCAAATAAACCAAAAACAATTACTCTGTTATTATCATCAATAAAAAGGTGAAAATGGAAATAATCCAGATTGCTAAACAAATTAAAAAAGAAATAATCCAGATCATTAATATTCTGTTACGCACGTTTTGAGGGTGACGAAGAACAAGAAGAAGAAAACTTTTTTTTTGTAAAAGAAAGAAAAACAAAACAAGTCTTGTTATCGTTGTGTTTCCGTTTATTGTACATCCATTAGACAAAACATCATCATCATCATCAAATCATCTTTCTCTCTTTCTCTATCATCTTCTTCCTCGCTCAAAAATCATATTATTACTGCATCCACAAATCCGCATTTTTCACCAAGATCAGAAACGTTAATTATATCTTTATCAAAAAAGTGTCCGATCGATGGGAACGTTCACGAGCTTCCGAAAGGCCTACGGAGCGCTTAAGGATACCACCACCGTTGGTCTCGCTAAGGTCAACAGCGAATTCAAGGTCAGCTTCTTCATCTCACCATTTGTAAATCTTGAAATCATGAAAAGATTCAGATTCTCAAATATGCATGTTTTTTTTTGTTTGGTTTGGATCGTTATAATGTATAGGATTTAGATATTGCGATCGTCAAGGCAACGAATCATGTTGAATCCCCTCCCAAAGAACGTCATGTTCGTAGTAAGTTAATTCCTCTGTTTTTGTCTAAGTCTCCTAATTAACATCACCGTATTTGATATGATTCAGAGAATGTAACGATGATTTTAAAATTTTCTATAGAGATATTCTCTGCGACATCTGTGATACAACCACGAGCAGATGTAGCTTATTGCATTCATGCATTATCAAAAAGATTATCGAAAACTCGCAATTGGGTTGTAAGTTTTCTTCTTTAATATGAAAAATTCTGAATTTTATAAAACACATTTTTCTTTGTAAAACAATTCTTGAATTAGTTTGACAATCACACAGGTTGCAATGAAGGTATTGATAGTGATTCATAGAACATTAAGAGAAGGTGACCCAACGTTTAGAGAAGAGCTTCTTAATTACTCACACAGAAGACATATTCTCAGAATTTCTAACTTCAAAGACGATACAAGTCCTCTTGGTATGAATAAACTAATTCTCCATCTATATATATACAGTACTTGCATTTCTTCAGCTCTTGTAAATGTAACCATCATATACTGTTTCTTTGATGCAGCCTGGGACTGTTCTGCTTGGGTTAGAACATACGCGCTCTTTCTAGAAGAGCGGCTTGAATGTTATCGGGTTTTAAAGTATGACATCGAGGCAGAGCGTTTGCCAAAAGCTTCAGGTGCAGCTTCCAAGGTTTGTCTCCTCCTAACTACTTAACATCATGAAGAAGCATTCAAAATTTTATCTTTTACTAGAAACCTTTGTTCAATGGTTCTGTAGACGCATAGAACAAGAATGCTGTCTGGTGAAGATCTATTAGAACAGTTACCTGCGTTGCAACAGCTTCTTTACCGGCTTATCGGATGTCAAGTAAAGTCATATATGCAGATTCAAAATTTTTTTTTTTTTTTTTTTTTTTCTGGAGAAGAAATTTTCTAATTTGTTTTCAGCTTTGCAGCCTGAAGGAGCAGCTTATAGCAACTATCTAATCCAATATGCACTTGCATTGGTGCTTAAAGAAAGCTTCAAAATCTATTGTGCTATCAATGATGGAATCATTAATCTTGTTGACATGGTCTGTTCCAAAAAAATCAGTTTCATTACCTGCTTTCGCTCTTTAATTCGCTCTGCGCTTTCCTATTCATAGATTGTAGTTTTCTCTGTGTCATTGTAGTTCTTTGAGATGTCAAGACATGATGCAGTTAAAGCTCTAAACATATACAAACGGGCTGGTCAACAGGTGAAGCAACTTCACTTCTTTCTTCTAGCTTATTATATTTTACGCGTATATTAAGCTAATTTTCGTAAGCTTTGCTTGTTGATGTTTTGCTTTGCACAGGCTGAGAATTTGGCTGAGTTTTATGATTACTGCAAAGGGCTAGAGCTTGCAAGGAACTTTCAGTTCCCAACCTTAAGACAGGTTGGTTCTTAGCTTTTTGGATCAGGTTTATATTTTGTGTAACAGTTGTGTAATTCACTTATCTAAACACTGTTTTCAGCCTCCTCCTTCGTTTCTTGCGACAATGGAAGAGTACATTAAAGAAGCACCTCAGAGTGGCTCTGTACAGAAAAAACTGGTAAAAGAAACTTTATCTTTCGTTATATTCTCAATCCTTGGTTAAATTTAATACCGATGATCAAGGTCTTCTTATGATTTGACATTTTGTTCTGTTTTTTTATTAATAGGAGTATCAGGAAAAAGAGGAGGAAGAACAAGAACAAGAAGAAGAACAGCCTGAAGAACCTGCAGAAGAAGATAACCAAAACGAAGACAACGAAAATGATCAGCCGCTTATCGAGGAAGAGGAAGAAGAGCCTAAAGAGGAGAAAGAAGAGGAAGAAGCTAAACCTTCACCATTGATAGACACTGATGACTTACTGGTGACTCTTCTTCATCTCCATACATTATAGTATATACCAAAACCTCAATACTAAGTGATCCTTTTCCTTGGATTGGTGCAGGGTCTGAATGAAATAAACCCAAAAGCCGCAGAGATAGAGCAAAACAATGCATTCGCTCTCGCGATATATCCACCAGGTAGAGAGACAAACAGAACAATCCCATTTAAAAAACTCTAGACTTTCTCAAATATACCATTGTTGGAAGAGATAACACAGTGATGAGAAGTTCTCTCTACAGGACATGAAACTTCAGGTCCATCTAATAGTCTAAGCTTAATAGAAGCCGGAGGAAGTGGTTGGGAACTTGCACTAGTCACACCACAGAACAACAATAACAACAACAACCCTCGTCCCACAATAGCTACAAAACTCGTAAGTCTCTCCCGTTCGGATTTGAACTCAAAATGTCTATTTGTACTCAAATAGTATCTCTGTTTACAGGGTGGTGGATTTGACAATCTTCTACTAGACAGTCTATACGAAGATGATACAGCAAGAAGGCAAATCCAATTAACAAACGCCGGTTACGGATTTGGAGCCACAGCGACAGCCATAGAACCAGCCTTGTCATCGAATCCGAATCCCTTTGGGATGCAACATGATCCTTTTGCAATGTCTAATAACATGGCTCCACCAACCAACGTTCAAATGGCAATGCAACAACAACAAATGATGATGATGAATAACCAAAGTCCATATAACAACAACAACTATTCACCTTATCACCATCATCAGTTCTCACCAAACCCTGCATCTGCTTCATCTCCTAACCCATTTGGTGACTTCCTCGCTCTCCCAGCTCCTCCTTCATCTGGTACTCAACAACAGCAACACAGTCATCACCATATGCTCCTTTAGAAAGGCCATCTCAATAACTTGTCTCTTTTTTCATCTTCTTCTTAATTTCGATTTGATTCAGGTTATTATTTATTATTCTTTCATTCTTTTCTTCTAGTATAAAACTCTTCTACATTGTCAGGATTTTTCTTCTTTTTGTTTCCATTAATTTGAATACTTATTTCAGCTTAATATATAACTTAATCATTTTGTATTTTCCCCTCTATTTATGCTTTCTATTCAAATTTTGCAAATTTATTTCAACGGTAAGAGTTAACGGCCAGGGGCAAAAAAAGAGGAGGGAAAGTTATATAATTTAATGCACTCTCACTTCTCTTGTCGCTAAGAACCGTTAAAAACCCGTTAACTCAGGTCCCTTGTGATAGAAGAAACCTAGATTTCTTATTGTGCAACTGCTAAAAGTAAAACAAAACCCTCATCAAAATTTCTGATATATACATAACAGTTACACACTCTATCTCACACTCACATACACACGTAGATACAAATGAATCTTCACAATACACTGATGTAAGCTGATTCTGAAAAAATGAACTTTACATTTCCGACAACAACATGTTTCCAAGTCTACGAAGTTCTCTAAGAGCTTCTTCAACTGTTAGTCTTCCGTTCTCAGTCATATTCTCCGGTGAGTTTAGCTCCAACACTGACTCTATTACCTGATACCGAAACATTCACAATATTGAGTCAAGTCATCTTTAGTTTGGGTTCATATAATAATCAAATCCAATCATTCGATTCGCCAAATTTTACCTTAATATGTTCAAGCATGGACCGTCCTGTGTTCTTTAATGCATCTCCGTTACCTGCAGTTGAATCTGAATCTGTCTTTCCATGTTCAGAATCTATCGGTTTAGCATCTTTGGTCTCCGAGGTCTCCTCACCAGACAAGTTTCTACCTAATCTCCATAGCCTCTGGAATTTACCTGAAAATATATTTCTCTCTCTAAAAATATTCATCCCTGATGTCGTCTCTGACTCGTTCTCAGGAACGGAAAGAGGCAAATCCATCTGGTTCTCACTTTTTCCTTTATCATAATTGTTATCCTCATAATCCAAGCTGGGTGAATCAGATACTGTAGATGAGCGTTCGATATCAGTTTCCAGGTTTGGTAATTCAGGAGAGTCAATCTCTTTTTCACCGAGTTGTCGGGATAAATCATCGAGTAAACTTCGTCTAATAGGCGGCTTGTTTGCACTTTTATTTGCTTCAGCAGGTGAAGGATCAGATTCTGTCCTTGAAAGCCTTAGCTTTACTCTTTCTGACCAACTCTTCTTCCCTGCTTTTGGTCTCTGCAACGCTTTTTTTTTCCGTTCTTCTTCTTCTGCGCTGTTCAAAACTCTCCACTTCTCTTCCCAGTAGCTCTCGGGTACTATTCCAACAGGAGAAGAGCTAAGTGAGATCGAATCAACCGATAAGCTGTGACCTCTCATCGGTTTTCTCGACCCTTTCAGAACTAAATCACGACGAGCATTGATTTCCAAAGCAAGACTCTGCAATGTCTTGGCCTTTTCGATAACTTTGCCCAGATCAATGTCCTCTGGAAAATTCAGTAACCTCTTGAGTGAAGATGTTGCGTTTTCGGTTGCCAGCAGCGATGATCTAAGATAAAGTATCATCGAAACGGCCATTCCAGCAACCAGAGCTCCTCTGGGAGAGCTAAGGATCCTGAATTCAAACCCTAAATCAGCCTCAACGCTTCTCTCCACCTCAGAATTGTCAGCAGAAAATATCTCATCCCACACAATCAATAGATTATACAGCGGAAACTCTCTCCCAAACAAAACCCGTAACCATCGGAGAGCAAAGTACTGTGGTTCAACGCCAAGCTCAACGAGGTGGCTGTGAAGAGAAGCATCGACCAGAGACAGTAAATGATACAACGCCCCAGAAGCTTCGATCACAGGAGGCAGTCCAGTGACAGAGTCGTTTGGAGCGGAATAAACAAAGAAATTCGCAACAGAAACTGAACCAAGGGATGATCCACCATACATCAGAGCGTCGAACATTGTGTAAGCATCATGTTCCATGAACTTCTCAGATAGAACGATTCCCAATTCGCCTTCCGCTCCATATGCATCACTCAACAGCACAGCGGTCTGCGTCTCGGTGTCAAGCTCATCAAAACTCTTGGGTTTTTTCTTCTTATTGGTGCTTCCAAATGATGGCCCATCTTCTTCGTCTTCCATGGAACCATCCAAAACCTTTTTTATATCGAAGTCATATGCTCCAGAATCGCGTTCTTGAAAGGCCAATTCGTCAAACAAATCAATGAACTGATCTTCATAGTTTGATCTCACTTCGGTAAGATATTGCACATCCACTTGAAGAACATAAAGCAAAGGAGCCAATAATTCATGCATCCCTAAAACCAAAAAAAAAATCCCATTAAAACCACAAAACATCTCCCGCAAATCACCCTAAAAAAACCAAGTGTCTAACCTTGTCTATAACCAATCTCCGGATGTTTCAAACACCACAAGAGAAGAACCCTTCTAAGCATCCCTTGACATCCAGAGGACTGAAAGTAACTTCCATGCTCTGGATACAACCGAGAGAGATCTTGATCAAGCGTTTTCTCGAGCTCTGCATTACGAAAGAATCTTCCCCAAGTACTATCTACACAATCCAGAAGGCTTCATATCATCAGTACTACATGGGAGAGAAAATGCAATTGAATGTATTTGAAAGAAGAGAGACAGTAAAGTTTAGAATATTACCAGGATTTTGTGATAAGGGATTATCAATAGTTAGATCTGAAGAATTGGTTCCTTTCTTGGGTAAATGTGGATCAATTAAGAGTCGTCTTCTCAAAGCAGCATAACTAAGAAACAACACATAAAAGTCAAAACTTTTACTAAATAATCAACATATAAAAAATATAAACTTCTGTTTCCATGAATTGATCTGAGTCTGAATCTGGAGCTACCAAATCGAGAAATGCAAAACCCTGAAATGTTCAAACTAAGAATGGTGAAAAATGTAGGGGGAAAAGTCAAAACCTTCTTCTGGAATCAGCGGTTACTCTGCGAAGCTCATCAATGGTGGAGGAAGGAGAAGACGGGAGAATTCCGAGGTTAATTCGCCATCGGACACCGCGAAGCTTCTCGAACCGGTGATCTTGAGACGGCGATGCGCCAGAAGTGCAAGGAGGGTCTTGTGTTCTTAAAAACTGGATCTCTTCATGAATCGCCATTTTTGACACAAATGCTTTTTCTTCATCAAATCTTCGATTTCGTGCCAAATAGATTCATTACTGTTTCGATCAAAATAAATGAAAATTGTGTTTTTATTTTTGGTTTTGTTTATGAGGGAACAAAAGTTATGCTTTAGACGAAAAATGGAATCAAAACGTATTCTTTTTGTATGTTTCTTTTGTTTTTCTCATTTCATGAGGCTGAGAAATCTGGGATTGGTTTGGAGGAGAGAATGGTTTAGGTTCTTTAAGAACGACGTAGTTTCATAATCGAGGTTCGTTTTTACCTGAATAAGTAAAACTGTAAAAGTACTGATTTAGACTTTTACTAGCACCGTGCAGCAATAATTTGACAGGCACAAGCAGATAAGGGGAGGTAAGCTGATCACATCTCCATTAAATATAATGGTAACCAAAACAGAATAAGGAAGAAAAAGAAAACACCACATGTAAATAAATTCAACCATCGATGCTAAAAAATCAAAATGGGACACTGTCTGCTTTGCATCCTCAACATACCAAAAATCAAAATCCCAGAAGTATGAATTAAAAGATTGCAGAGGAACGAAACCTGAATAACAACATGTCTAGCTTTCTTCATAAGAGGAGCTCAGACTTGAAGATGTTCAAATACAAAAACTACTTTAGTAGACATATCATCCATCATGAAAAGGACAGAAAATAAGTACAAACCCATTTAAAACGAAGTTATGATCATCTTTCATCTGACTGCGAGTAGACTGCAAAGGTTCAGAAGTATAGTGATTGATAAAGAAATCCTGCAAAATAATACAATAAGACATACAGAGGAGAGATAACACGAAAAAAGGATTCATACATATGAGATCACTCCTTGAGTCAACCAGTGAGGAACTCCAAAGCTTACTTCTCGTGAAGTAATTCACAAATAGAAAGAGGCGTTTTGGAAGCGAATCTATGATCCCACTGTCGCTTTCACTTCGCTTCCGCTTCCAAAACACCTGCAAGACGAAGAAACTTACTTAGTTACCGAAACAAACAAAAAAAAACAAAAAAATTAGAGACGCGTTAAGAAGAAGAAGAGATGATACTCGAGGCATGAACCATCACTGCTCCATAAAAGATGTTGCAACAGATTTTAGAGGGAAAAAGGAACAAAACCTGAATATCTATCACATGTCCAGCCTTCTGCAGGAGATGAAAAGATATGAAAACAAACTCGGCTGGAAGAAAACAAACACTCAAATTCCACAAACCAAACAGAGGGCACAAACACTCAACAGAATCACAAAAAAGGATACATCTGATTTCAGACTCCCTTTGGAATTTCTCAGCAGCTTCTACATAACCTTCAGTCCCAAGAATATTCATCACCAGAGTTTACAGCATTTAGTTTCATCTCCCATTCTTCACGTGTGATCACCTTCTTCCAAGTAGCTGTGACTTGCCACATTTAAATTAGGCCCAAGAAAATAATCGCAATAAGATTCATTTTTTTTCCAAAAACACATCATCAATTTAGGTAAAAGAACGCAAGAACCTGAATAAACCACATAGACCTCGAGGAAATACCTGAACTTGTGGGTCATCTCTCATCTGAATGTGTCTACACAACAAGAACATCTGGGAAACAAAAGAGGCAGAGGACCAACAGTAGCCAATAATAAATAAAACAACTGCTAGGCAAAAAGGTGTACATATCCGAGGTAACCTGAAAGTTAAACTCAGAATTCGTAGACATATAGCACAGAGAAGAAACAAGTCCAAGCCCTTCACTGATGGCTAAAAGCATCATCCAAAACCTGAAATAAGAAAAAAAACAAGTAAACCACTCAAACCTAAACCAAGAAACAAAAAGTCGACAAGGTGTTTAGAAAAGGGAAACCATGAGAAGGCCTGAAGACGTATCATGGAGATGAATACGCGATGAACATATCGTAAATTGCTTCCAAAACACCTACAAGAGGTAGAAAGAGATGTATATAACTAAACAATAAAAAAAAAAAGAGGAAAAAAGAAGTGTTAAGAGGAAGAACAAAACCCCTGAAGACAGTGACATTGATCCATAAGAGCATCATCCAAAACCTGAAATAACAGGATTACAAGTAAATCACATGTAATTAGGAAAAAAACACCGAACCATAGTGAAAATTCAGAAGAAAATAGAGATTCGTTTAGAAAAGGGAACCAATAAGAAGGCTGAAGCCGTAGGTAGCAGGTGAAGCATATGTGATGACAGAAATGCCTGCAAGACGAAGAGAGTAATGTAAGTAACTAGTAAATAAAAGAAAGAAGAAGAAAAAGAATAGTTAAGAGGAAGAACAAGACCCCTGAAGACAGTGACTTTACTTAAAACCTGAAACATCCAATTAAAAAGACCAAAAACATGTTGAAAAGTCCCTCATGGCACAGTCCAAACCTCATGAAGCCAGAGCTTTAAATCCAATTAATGATAAAATTGAGATAGCTAATATCTACCAAAGGGAAAGAGGAACCCGTTTTTTAAAACGTTTAGCTATTTCCTTTTTTCTTTTTTTTTTCGCCAACTATTTTCTTTTTTCTTTGTCGCCAACTATTTCTTTTTCTCTAATTTTCCTTTTTTAAAAAACGTTTAGCTATTTTCCTTTTTTCTAATTTTCCTTTTTCTCTTGATTTAAAACAGAAAAAAAAAAAATTATTCTTCGTCTTCAATTTAAATTCATAATCCACGATTCTGGTTCGAGGCTTTCAGCAGTGAGAGTAAAATCGAAACAAGCCCTTCAGGTTTAACATATCTCCTCAAAAGCTTTGTGTATCTGTTGATTCGAATTCGTTTCACTAGAAAAGATAGAAGTAAGCGAATTGCAATTTATCTTCTTTGTTAGGATTTACTTACAGTCTTTACTTTGGTTCTTTTTTTTTGGGTTTTTTGTTTGATTGGCGAAATTTATATTCTTTATGCGTTTTATTCAATGCTTGAATACGTTTTCGGAAACCACATGACTGCTTTTGCATTGATGTGATGAGATCAGTGGAGGTTCATTTTTAGCGCGCTCATGTTGTTCGATGAAATGCCTGAAAGAAATTTTATACCTTTCTGTCATAACTCTTAAAGGGATTTATTGGTTTCACTTACTTATATTGATGAACTTGATCTTTACATTGGCTTTTAGTTACTGGAGAAAAATATACTCAAAATGCAAAAATCTATCTCCAAGTATTGCTCTGTTATCACATAATAAGCTATCGGAATATTTTCCTGAGTCTGGTATATATTTGGTTTGCTCAGATGGGAGATTCAACATTTCTTGATAGAATGCTTCTCCAGCTTCGCTCCACTTGCAAGTAATGCTTTTTGAGTTTGTTTTGTTAAATTCTATAACTGTGACATCGTAGAGACCAATCATGGAAAAGGGTTGATCTTTCTGTTGAAATGAAGGTATTACAGCGGCTATCCTAAGGATCTCGGGCCATCGCGGGTTCTTCATTTTACATCAGAAAGAGAGTTTGTCCAACTCCTTCACCAGGGTTATCCAGTGGTTGTCGCATTCACCATAAGGTAAATTAACCTTCTCCAGAACCCTGCAAATTACCCTCCCTCTTTGTTATGTTTCCAATTTAAGTGTCTTCTTCCATAAAACAGAAGTAACTACACACAACATCTTGACCGGATGCTTGAGGAAGCTGCTGCTGAGTTCTATCCTAACATAAAGTTTATGAGAGTGAGTTCGTAAACAGTATAAAATAAGACAAAATGAAAACTTTCTAAACTATTAAGGGACTGTTGTGTTTGGATTGTTTCAGGTTGAGTGCCCCAAGTATCCCGGATTCTGTATAACTCGTCAGAAAAGCGAATATCCTTTCATTGAAATCTTCCATAGCCCACAACAAGTATAGTTCTAAATTCGTGTATATAACCTGTTTAAACCATTTATGCTTTCGTGTATCTCGTAAAATGAACATCCTTCTGATGCAGGCGGGTAATGAAGGTAAGGTACAGGATCCAAATGTCACTCGGTATTCAGTGAAAGTTGTACCTGTAAGTGGAAGCATCACAAATTGTCTTTTACACATATATTCATCCATTGCAGAGACTAAAGATTGGTAACTTTTCCTTGTATGTTGCATTTGGCAGTACAATTATGATATGAGTCCTTATGGATTCAGAGAATTTTTCAAGCGCCAGGGAGTTCGTACTTCGGATCCCAAATGAAGCAATTTAAAGCCCGGTATGATTCGAAAGGTTTTCAAGTGTATCGATGGCTTCGTTGAGATACCTATGACTGTTTTTAAAACTATTGTAATACTAAATTTCTCTTTTGCCTTTGAAATAACGAAAGAAATAAATGCTTATGATGTCTGATATGATGCTCCAAGTTGTTCAATTTGCATGAATCAATAATCAGTTAATATTTAGAGTTGTGTAAAATTCGAATGTGAAAGGGAAATTGCTATCCAGCGTTCTCGTAGAAATACATCTACTCTATTTTTTTTTTGTCAATTTGTCATGCTAGTCTTACAATTTAAAAATAAAAAATGAGATGATATATGATAAGTGTTTCACGGAACAAAAAAAAAGAACAAAAATCGTAATAAAGTTCAGATTCAAGTAAAGTCGTAAAAAATTTTTTGCAAAAAAAAAACTAAAAGTTATAGTTGTTTATATCCTATGCTCTTTATTAATCTATTTTCTATAAATTTTTTCGAATTTTTAAGTTATCTATGTTTTTTTATTAGTTATTAATTAGGATTTGCAAATTTTAATATAAACAACTAAAACTATTGATTTAAAGTTAAAAAAGACTCCAAATTACAAAAAATGATTTAGTTATAACTAAATTTAAAATGTTTCTTAATATGTGTGAAAAATCTAAAAATACTCTCTCTATTCCATTTTTTTAGATTTTTAAGCTAAAAACACAATGTTTAAGAAACTATAAATGTTTAAGGAATAACTAAAAGAGAGAGAGGAGAATATAAATAGTCATATAATATACTAAATAAACATAAATTATGCCTAAAAATTGGATAAAATCTTACAAAATGAAACAAAAATTTGTTTAAAAAATCTTATAATTTGGAATAGAGGGAGTATATCAATTAGGAAGAGATGAAGTATCATATTTATGATTTTTTAAGCTAAAAGCACAAATATTAAGAAATAATAAATGTTTTTACAAAAATTTACTTAAGGGGGTGTATTCAAAGTAGAATTTTTAAGTAATTTGAGTTTTCTTAAGTTTTAATAAATGATTTTGATGATTTTAAGAAAGTTCATATGATTTTTATCAAATCCTTACAAATCTCACCTTAAATCATGGGGTTTGGATTTCTATACCTTTAACTAAGGAAATCCTCTCAAATGCTTCAAAATCATTAAGGGGGTGTATTCAGAGTGGAATTTAAAGAGATTTGTGTATAATTTATAAATCATATGTTATTCAAACATGGATTTTAGAAAATCTCATAAAAATCCAATTTTATTAAACTAATGATTTCAAAATCCACATTTAAATACACTGTTATTGAAAATAGTTTGTAGAGATTTTTAATGATTTTGAAGGATTTGAGAGGATTTCCTTAGTTAATCCCATGGTTTTAGGTGAGTTTTGAAAAGATTTACAAATACATAATTCCACTTTAAATACACCCCCTTAATAGTAAGAAATATTGAAAGTTTTAAATAATCATACACAATTAAAATTAATATAAAATTTGTATAAATGAGAAAATCTAATAATGTGGAATATAAAAAAAAGTTTAAAACATCTTATATGTTAGCACAAAGGGAGTATATAATACTCTTTGTCCAAAAAAAAAAAAAGGGAGTATATAATATACACACATTGAGCAAAACTCCATACGTTTTCTTTACCTTGTAACCTGATCCTTATTAAAGATCTAGCCTTGGTTAGGTGAATCTCTCTGGATATGCATGTTGTTCTATTAATAGCATCATCCATCGACTGGCTAATTATAATCTACCATTTTAGGTTCTTTTTTAATTCATCATGAGGGTTTGATTCTGATACCTACTTCTTTTGCTTTTTCTTACAATCTTTGTAAACAACGTCAATTAGAAGGCTAGCCTCAACAATCGCTTCTCTTCATCACTCTTCTAGGGTATGTCATGATATGTGTTTGCTTCACTTTTCACATTGATTCTATACATATACAGTATAAAGTTCGTTTTCTTAGGGTTGGCTTTGAACTTGTTTTGTGTGCAAATGAAGGCAGAAGAAGAAGAAGAAGAAGAAGAAGAAGAAGAAGAAGAAGAAGAAGAAGAAGAAGAAGAAGAAGAAGAAGAAGAAGAAGAAGAAATGGGGAAGCAGGTTGTTTTGGCGAAGCCTTTCTCGTTGGAAGATGAGAAAGAAGACTCTGAAAACACACCTCCCAATCTCATCCAGCGGATCCTAAGCCTCTTCAAAAACGTACGGCCAGGATCTGATCTCTCTAATTTTCAGGTACGTAACGCTTGTTTGTGTCTCTTTTTTCTCTGTTTGTCATCGATGAAAAAAGTGAAGTATGTATATTCAAGTATTTATTTGAAGATGTACTATGTTTAGTATATACTTTTTTGGGTCTAACTTATATACCACTCCACAAAATTTTATCACCCAAAAAAAGAGATTCGATTTTTCTCTCTATTAAGGTTTTCCACATTGTATATCCAAAATTTGCTCTTATAGTTTCGTATATTTAACTTGAAACATATATTAAACATAATTACATTATCATCTAGCTAGCACTTGTAAATAATCTAAACTTGATAATAACATGCTTCAATTTATATAACTAAAACATAAGTTTGATTTACTGTGAAAAGCTTCCACCTCAAATGAACCTACCGAGATCGCAGCTGCAATGCTATGGCGAGATAGTGTACAGTTTCGATGGTCACGATCTACTCGGCGAATGTAGTCGTCGTGATCAACCAATCGAACGGCTCAAATCAGTCGTGACGTGGTACATCGCAACTCTCCGGCCATTGGTATTTGGCATGGCTCCCTATAACCCTGTCATCGGCGAAACTCACCACGTGTCCAATGCTCATATCAACGTTCTCGTCGAGCAGGCAAGTGTTTTAAACTTTTTTCTTCTATAATACTAGTATTGTTTTTATAAAATAACTCTTTCAGTGTATACGAAAATTAGTATTAAAGATCAATGAACATATAATGTTATGTGTTTTGATATTTTCAGATATCGCATCATCCACCAGTGTCAGCTCTTCATGCAACTCACGAGAAAGAAAACATAGACGTAATGTTATGTCAATACTTCACACCTAAATTTCGTGGTACGTATAATAATCAAATGAGAAATCTCAATTATAATATTTTATACTTTATAGATTATTAACCCACTCCAAGAATACACGTTTAATGAATTGAGATTTCTCACTTTTCTAATTACATTAAAGGTACGTACGTAGAGGTTGAGTTGAAGGGTAAAAGAGTTATGAAAGTTGTAAATCACAAAGAGACTTACGTAATGAACCAACCAAAACTACTGATGACGTTTTTACCGGCGATGGGGGCTCAATGGGCCGGAAAAGTGGTAATAAAGTGCCCGGAGACGAGACTCGAAGCCGAGTTGCAGTTACTCTCCGACTCCTTTGTCAGTAGATTCACAGGAAACAACAAAAGAGCCATTAAAGGAAAGATATTTGAATCTTCCTCTAGGAAACAACTCTATGAAATCTTTGGACACTGGGACAGGTACGTAACAAAACAAAAGAAGAAGCTAGCTATAATCCATGTTTCAAAGTTTTTATTGCAGTTGAACATCAAAACTTACAGTGAGGTAAATGTTTTCAGAACTGTTACCGCGAAAAATACCAAGACAGGAGAGCTTGAGGTTATATACAAAGCGAATGAAAACATTGCAAAACTCAAAACTCCCATTGTCAAGAACCTGCAGGTACGGTTACTTTATTTAGAAACTTTCCCGGGAGATCATAAATTTTAATGCTTCAATATTCTTTAATTAAGTTATTTCTGGTATGCATGCAGGAGGTGAGTGAGAGCGAGTCGGGGATGGTGTGGAGTGAGGTGAGTGAAGGGATCATGAGGAAAGATTGGGAGAAAGCAAGAGAAGCGAAGAGAGATGTGGAGGAGAGGCAGAGGGAGTCTTTGAGGAAAAGAGAGGCTATTGGAGAATCATGGATTCCAAAACATTTCTCAGTTGCTCGAGCTGGTAAGGACTGGGACTGTGTTCCTCTACAGCCTAGAGTTCCTCGAGCTCCTATCATTGTTCCTCTCTGATTCATTCTCTCTATAGAGGTTCGTACAAGATGTAAGAGGATTTAAGTAGTAACAAAAGGTTGTATAAATTTTACCTTTTCACATATCTCTTGTAAGAAGTAAGAACTGATCATTGAGAAAGTTATTAGCTTTTGTCTGTTCTCTCTCACAATTTGAAAATGATATAAATTTTCCCATTGGTAAAAAAAAAAAAAAAGAAATCTTATGAGCATCTCTATTGCTTATTTTTTCATGGGTGTCTAAAAATCTGTTTAGAATGAATCATTATTTATTTTAATTATAAGTGTTTTTAAAATGTGCAAATGTGTTTGCAAAATAAGTGTATATACCTAGAAATACTTTGCACACTATAAAGTTAATGTATTTTAATTATAAAATAAAATTTTAGACACTTAACAAAAAAAAATTACCATGGTAAAGTGTTACCAAAAAAAAAAAAAAAATTACCATGGTATTTCCTTTTTCAAAGTTTATATTGCTATGGCTTTACCAAAGTTTCTGATGCTGACAAATTTGAATACGCAAGCCATTGTTTTCTCAGAGGTCAACCTGAGCTTACGGCGCCACGTTCTTTCGTGGTTACTATACCCCTGAGATGCCGATACTCGTGGAGAGTCTGAAGCAGAGGGTCTTGGCTTTGAAGAACAACAAGGACTGCCTTCGCCTTCACCAATCTCTCTAGTTACCTACTTATTCTCTGTTTCTCTTTTTATTTAGGATTTATTTTTAAGTGCTGCTTAATTGCTCTATGCTATCAATGTAACCTCTCTCTTTCTCTCTCTACACTCGCTTTACATGGATCAACAGAGCACAGATCTCAAGTTTAATGAGAGCACATAAATAAAATTTGAATAGACCGGGATTGCTGATTATGTCCCTATCCCGATGTACTCAGGCTCATCGGGAGCATCTCCAGGGTCTACTCTTATCATGTACATATCTTTCTTTTTGGCTCATTCGCAGGATCTTCCAATATATCTCCCTTTCAATCAAGAAGATATCCAATTTCAGAAAGCAGGAATTTGTTAGGAACTAAAAAATGTAAAACCTGATTACTGTTGTTACCTCATGACTGAGCCACTGAGGTGCCACAGGTTCCTGTCTCGGCTGTAAAATAGATTTCTTTGTCACATGAACACTATAAAGCATCTTCTCTGCCTTGGATTTCCCATTCTCTCCATGGTGCCACATTTTTAAGTTCTATTTCTCTGTAGAGGTTCCTACAAGATAAAAGAGCTCATGAGAGGTGTAAAGCACATAGAAAAAATAAAGTTGTAAGAAATTCTCAAACTCCAAAAATCACAAGCAATGAGAATATGAACTTACCAGTATATCTTACAGGGAAGATGTTAATCAACCGTCAGTTGTCCCATTTCGATGAATGAACCCATTAAATGTCCAACCTTATCGGCAATTCAACATAATTGCATATTCCATTGCAGGCTTTGCAGCTCTAGTCTGTTAGAATCACTCAAGAGTAAGTAGGGTTGGCTTTTGGTGGCTTGAGCAGTTAAGCAAACATACTGACTTATTTAGGCATACAAGAAAGCACAGACATGACGAATTCATTAGCTTGCTTCAGCTTCCCACTGGAGCAGAGTGATCTAATGGTTGAGTGAAGGGTATGGAAATCATAAGCATAGTCTTCTTTCTTTACCTGTTGTTCGTTCACACCATTCAGAAATTGTAACATTTGACTAGAACCCAGGCTTTTACCAGACAGATAGATAGTTGAACTTATCTCTTCTAGGATTTTGATAGCCTGAGGGACCCTTCCTTGCTCGCACAACTCGACCAGGAAGCCTCTGATCGATTCAGATTCAACCAATTCTTCATCAACTCTGTTAATCAGCTTAATAGCAGATTCTGAAACAAGCATTTCTCTCAAGAGTCCCCTAGCTTCTTCCATTCGCCCTTTTGTGCAGAAACCTTTAATCAGAAACAAGAAACCTAAGAAATCGGCTGAGATATTTTCATCCTTGAACTCAGCAAACACTCTGAGAGCTTCTTCCATGTCACCTTTTTTACAGTAACCTTTGATCATTGAGCTGACTGTGAATGCGTCAGGTGTAACCCTTCCCATCATTTTCCGAGTTAAAACTCTCATGGCTTCCTCTGTTTGCCCGAGTCTGCAATAACCGTCAATTATAGAATTGTAAATGAGAATGTTCGGTACAAGTCCTTTAGATACCATACTGTCCAATAGTTTCTCAGCATCGAGAAACAACCCTTCTTTGCATAAATTATCAATCAAAATGCCGTATGTGACCTCAGACGGGTCTAAACCAATATTTTCTAGGGAGTCAAAAAGACGGAGAGCTTCTACAAGACAACCATGCTGGCAAAGTCTATTTATGAGGGAATTATATGTAATGATATTGAGCATGACGCCTCTGCTTTTGGCAAAACTGCACAAATCTAAGGCCTTTACTAGAAATCCTTCCTTGCAGAGACCATCAATAATGATTGTGTAATCAACCACATCAACTGAAGGCAGAGTAGTTTCTTCAGCATTGACAACGAGTGAATAAGCATCCAATGCTCTGAGATTGTCCACTAGAATTTTCAGAATCATAGAAGGATATGTAATTGTTAAGCGTTTTCTACTCATAATCATATAAACTTTAATTGCAGCCTCGAAATAACCTCTCTTGCATAAAATAAAGATAGCATCATTGAACATCCCACGACACCGATCTGAATTCAACTGGTCGAGTGTATAAACAAAACTGAGTATTCCTTTTTCACCTCTGTTAGCATGGATTGAATGTAACACGTTCCGAGATGTACGGATGTCCAAACACAAACCTTTCTCCCATAGCTCAATAAGTACATCCGTGGCTGTTTCCAGCATGCCTTTCTTGCAGAGTGCATCAATGATCCAATTATAACATACAGCTGAGGAAACCGAGCTTTTCCGCAGCTCATTAAATATCTCAAGTGCCTCTTCGATCTGACCTATTTTGCAGAACCCCTCAATCATCATAGAATATGTGACCGTATCTGGAGTCAGATCCATGTCAGGCATTGCCCTATAAAGTGCATCGGCTTCGCTATACGCACCCACCAATAGAAATGCTTTCAGGAGAATGTTGCACATAACCAAGTCCATAGGGATCTTAGCTTCTTCAAACCTACGCCTAACTTCTAATACAGCATCTGTATTCTCTTCCTTTATATAACTATTTAACAAAGTACTATAAGTAAAGACATCCCCCACAACTCCTTTGGAAATCTCATCCGCCTCTGACACTCTACCTGCTCTGCACAGTCCATTAATCACAGTGTTATAAGTAAGGATGCTTGGTTGAATCCCTCTCTGCTCCATATCTCCCAACATAGAGAAAGCTCGATTCAAATTTCCTTTCCTACAAACTCCATCGATCAAAGTCACATAGAGAAACTCATCCACTTCAATTCCCATATTCAGAATTCTATCGAACAACGCAAATGCCTCTTCAAGTTTACCCTTTCTGCAGATTCCCCTAATAATAGCTGTATAAGTGATCAAATTTGGCTCTATTCCTTCCTTTATCATCTTCCCTAATAACCCAAATGATTTTTTAATGTTTCCTTCCTTCGATAACCCATCTATTAGTATTGAATAGCTAACAGCATCTCGACTTATTCCCTTCTCCACCATTTTCCTGTCCAGCATAAGTGCATCCATTAAAGCACCTCCCTTAAAGTACCCATGAATCCAGTTACTGTAGAAAACGCAGTCAAATTCAAATCTTTCATCTTCCAATCTCCTAACTAAATCCCTCACTTCATCAACCTTACCCAATTGACAAAGAGCACTCACAAGCGTAGTATAAGTTACATGATTCGGCACTAAAACTCCTGAATCTACAGCACTCTCGAAAAAACCCAACGCAAGTTCCGGTTTACCAATCCTACAAAACCCAGAAATCACAGCACTAGAAACGAAATTATCAAATGGGTAATTAACTTTCTTATTCGTCATCATCTCTAGAACCTCTAAGGCGTTATCCATCTCTCCTTTCGAAACGAACCGATAAATCAGTGAACAGAACGTCAAGGAGGAAGGAAACGCACCGTGATTCTGTAAACAATCTCTGAGAATCGAGAGGCCCTTATTAGGATTATCACGCGTGACGCTGAATCCATGAATTAGAGAATCTAACATATGGGTCCTGGGAAAAATCGAAGCTTTTGAAATCTGGGTGTTGATAAACTTCTCTGCGTCTTCGTACCGATTCAAATTGAGGAATGCCCATGAAACGATTGAGTAAATCCGGTGATTAATGTGTACTTGCCTCGAATCTAGCTGAGAGTACAAGTGAACAATGCAATTAAACTTCTGGCGACGGTAGAGATATCGAAGAAACCTATCGATGGAGTTTAAGGTTGGAGAGAAGCCGCTTTTGAGCAGTGACTGGAGAGAAAAGAGTCCCGAAGAAGTACGATGATGGAGCTTCATGGAGATTCGCAAAAGGATTCTCCTTTCTTCTTAGCTAATTCGGCATTACAGAATCGCCATGGCAAAGAAAATATCACAGAAGTAGCCGACACTGCAGCGAAGGAACTAAACGAATACAGGTGAAGAAGTCTCGAGCTAGTGAGTAGTGACTCTCTTTTACATTGGACCGGTCTGGTTCTGATTGAACCGGGTCTTTTTTTGTTTCTCTTGATTTTAGATTTAGCTGGTTTTCAGGGATATTTAATCCAGTTAACCAATTTGATCCAAACCAAACGGACCAGAAACTAAGCTCTGATTGAACAATGAACAAGCATAATGTAACGTATGTAAGAAGTAAGAAGTAAGAAGTAAGAAGTAGAACCATAAAAACAAAAAAGTGGAGTAGGCATGCTTTGGTTACTCTTTATTGCGTAATATAAACTTAGCTTAAAGATCATGATTCATGGATCTAAAGGTTTCACAGGAACAAGTAGAAGATCATGTTTCTTATGGGAAGTGAGTCCAGAAGCTTCATCCATGTCATTGTTTTCTACCGTCATACCTTCTGGTAACTTCCAATCAAAGTGGTACAAGAGATGCGCAAGACCAAACTCAACCGTTGTTATCCCCATGTACATTGCTGGACAAATTCTCCGACCACTACCAAATGGCAACAGCTCAAAGTCTTGTCCTTTAACATCAATGTCACAATCTATAAACCTCTCAGGGAAAAACTCTTCTGGATTTTTCCATATCCTTGGATCACGGCCAATAGCCCATACGTTAACATGAAGCCTTGTGTTTGGTTGAATTGTGTAGCCGTTGATTTGAAATCCACATGTTACTTCTCTTGGGACTAGAAGAGGTGTTACTGGATGTAACCTCCATGTTTCTTTGATCACCATTTTTAGGTAAATGAGTTGATTAGTCTCATCTAAGTTTATGATTCTTGTTTTGTTGTTTTCCCCTATTTGGTCTCTGATTTCAGATTGAACCTTCTTCATCACCCGCGGGTTTCTTGCGAGTTCAGCCATTGCCCAAGTCATGGTTATTGCAGAAGTATTGATTCCACCCAAAAGGATGTTCTATTAAGAAAAGATAGATAATGTCAAGCGTCATAGTACTTGCTAGAAACTCTACATCCAAATAGAAAACAAATTCTCTTATAACTGACTGAGGTAATAATCATAGTATGAGCTAATTAGTTTTGAGGTGAAGTCTCATGAATCTTCAACACTAATCTTAAAAGTGAGAGATGAATTACTACTATACTTACCATCAAGATTGCTTTGATATGGTTTCTTGTGAATTTGCCATGTCCGAGAACAGCTTCTCCCTTCTCCAACTTCAGTAGCAAGTCCAAAAAATCACCTTCACTTGATTCTCTGTTTTTCTGTAGATGCAAACCAATCATTTGTTCATAGAAAGCATCAAGATCTCGCACACTTCTCTCTCTCCGTGCGTGTAAACCCGTGAACAAGTCGAAGATCCAACCAATATGCGGGAAAAAATCTGAAGCAGAGAAGCTCCCCAACATCTCGAGAGCTTCATGGACTAAATCTTGGAACCTTTCATTGTTGAGCACAGTTGTTTGGAAATTCACACCAAATGCTGCCTTGCAAATCACACTTGCGTTTAAAGAAAGAAACTTCTCGCTCAAGTTAATTAGAGTTTTCTGAGAAGCAGATTCAGTAATTGACTCAATCAGTTTCCTCATCTCCTCCTCCTTGAGGGGTTCAATCAACTTAACTCGTTTAGCACTAAAGAGTTTTTGAACACAAAGCTTTCTTAATTCTCTCCAATAATCATCGAATCTAGAGAAAGCAATGTCTAGATAGTTGTAAGAAAGCTTTCTTGTGCCTGAAAAAAGCCTAATTAGTCAAGAAATGATATCTTATACAGTATAAAATTCCAAATTTATTTGTACCTTCCAAGCTTGGACGGCTACAACAATGAAGGTCATAGTCTTTAAGAACTTGTTTAGCTGTTTCAGGAGAAGAAACGATAACTGTTGAAACACTTCCAAGTTTCAGTAACATTACAGGACCATACTTCTTTGAGAGTGTCCATAGAGATTGATGTGGTAATTCTCCGAGCTGGTGCAAGTTTCCAATGATCGGTAAGCCTGGAGGACACGGTGGTTGCCGCCATGGCCGCTTAGTGTGTTTGACAGAGATAAGAAGGATAGAGACGAGGAATAAAAGTGAGAGAAACCAAAACAGAGTCATTTTACACGTTTCACGTTTGAGAGTGATGATGATGAAAGCAAAGCTCTTGTTCTTTTATATACAAAAACATATGTTCACCGCTTGTAAATAGATGAAGTTCATTATTATTTATATCTATATTTATATATCCCAAAGCACAGTAAAAAAATCTAAACTCTTTGTGCTAAACTACTGATAGCTTCACCTTACAACAACATACACCGGTTAACACTAACCGAACAATGGCTTAAATCACAAAAACCAAATCTCTCCTTAACCAAAAATCTCTGCTTCTAATTTTGTTCTTATACTAAACCTTAATAAAAGCAGAGTAACATGTCCCATCAAAGAGACTTAAACCCAGCAAGAGCAAGCATTTTTCAGATTCTTCAGAGAATTTACAGTAATATTTGATCCAATCTAATCCAATCCAATCTCCAGATATATGGAAGTGCTTTGTTGCGGTTTCAAGAATGGTATGGTTCAGTTTCAAGAATTTGTGTCTCTCTCAGACCACTGTGCTGGTGTAGTTTGGGAAGAGTCTGACCAGTTTGTAAAGAGCATCTGAGTGAAACTTCCTTGCGAATAGATAACATGGACGTCTAATTCCGTTCCATGTACAAGGCCAATGCAGCTCTTCTCCCCGCTAAGAAAAGGAAAACGCAGAAGATAAATCAAGAAAAGCATTTCACATTTTTAGTGTTTTCAAATGCAGTGAACGTGTAATGTACCTTGCCAACGCTTGTTACATGTACACTCATGTCATCGGACTGCAAGAAACCAGAGGAAGGAAATTATGTATCAGAAAGATGAAAGATAGGAGATAGAAGACTTGGATATTTTCTCATTGAATATGTACAATGAATTACAAGAGTATGAGTTGAGTGTACTGGTTAAATCAGATGATGATTCACATTCACTCCGTGATAGCATAAGATATTTGATTGGTGTGTTGAAAAAAGGGTTGTAACATTACCGTGATATTTTTCAAGAGCTTGAGTGAAACGTCGCGCCCTCTGTATGTCTTTGGATGCCATCTACGCTCAGACCAATCAACATATGTGACTGACCAGTTCGAGATTCCTCCAGGATCAAGCATCTTTAAAGAACAAATATTTCGTTAAGGGTCAAGAACCACAGTGATAAAATATTTTAAGAGAGAGTTGTTGTAATCTCCTCACGTGGAAGAATGTTGGCAGGTAATGTTCATCTGCGATGCAGTTCTTGTTTGCTTCTACCCCGGGCTGAGGATTTTCAAATCAGTATCAGAGTAAGAAATAAATCTGAAACTTTTCCAAGTTTAAAAAAATTTGAGGACTCTTGATATTAGCACAAGAGATCTGGTTGTGGTGTCTTCATGAACAATTTGTTATTACAGAACTCAATCATTAATGGTAGGCAGTAACATGCAAATGTAAACTTTGGTATAAAGGAATACTGAACTTACTCTGCAATACTCCCGGAATTTCGAGTAGTAGAGACCATCAGCCATCACTATTACAGCATGTTGACGCTTCATTGTGAACCACTGTTACCAAAAGAGAAAAGTGGGAATTACACAATCCGTTTCTAGTCGACTATTTACATATCTTCTTAATATTATGAAACATATTTAGAGAAGCAACTTAAGAACAATCTACAACTCAGGGATTTAAGTTAACAGTATCTTACCTGAGCACCCTTTCTAAAATCTTGCCTTGGGATCTCAGGTAACATGTGATCCATGTGTCTGCCAGTCCCGTGAGGACCAAGATCCTCAAAACTTGACAGAGAGAAACAAGGATTGGTGAATATTAATGGAGAAACCAAATTTAGCAATAGAAAGATATCCAAAGTTTCTGAGAGTCATTTATTTACCTATCAATGAAGCTAACATTTGAGTGCATCAAATATCGGTAAGTGTAGTCAAATGTATGCAGCGGTATACAACTGCAAAGTTAAAAGAGATACAACGAGTAAAGAGAATGTAGCTGGAAAAGGTCACTATTTTGCGCAAATTCGATAAGATTATGAAATCACCTTTCTGAAAGAAGAACAAAGTGTTGGTTGTCAGGATCTTCAAGAGCGTTTGCTAGAAGCCGTCTCTCGGCATCAACCATAGAAATCCTTCCCCAAGTGACATGATCGCTGTGAATTTCACGGTCTGAAAAGTGACGGCTAATGTGAACTGGTCTTAACCTCGATGGGTGGATGTAAATAGAGAATCTTCCTTCTTGACCCTTTACAATATAGAGGAAAACCGTCAAATACCACACACACACACAGCAATCTAACAAATCAAAAATGTCTCAGAAAATTTTTTTACCTGGAAAAACTTATCCCAGAGCTTCTCAAATGGCAAAGTACCGGGAGTCAAGAACATAAAAGCTATTTTGGATTTAGAGGTCAGAGCAGGAGGTGTTCTCAGTATGTCTTTGATCACAACTCGAGCTGCAACTTCTTCGTCCGTAAATTTCCTCACATGAACAGGAAGCCATCCAGAGAGCGCAGCTTCACAGCCTCTACTAGACAAACCTTCACAAGCAGCGTTCTTAATGTTCTGTTGTGGATACATGTAAGTGATGACCAAGATCACACTAGTGATGCATACTAATAAAACAATCAACAATGGCTTCTTTAGAGAAGATCGGTGTCGCGGAGACAAGTGCAGGTTCTGTGTTTCTCCCATTGCAGAACAAAAAAAAAAAGCTTGAATCTTTAACTTCTTTACATTGAACAGAACCTGAAAAAAAATCAATCAAAGAACATTAAAATAAAGTAATTTACAAACAACAAAAGAATTGAAAAAAAAAAACAAAAATGTGTCTTTTTGTCACTTACTAATCTTTAAAGCAACACTCTTTAGAAACAAGCAATTAGAACATGGAATTTAATTCGAAAGTAGCACACGTTTGGTGAATCAAATTGACGGAATTTAAGAAAAAGAAACCCTAATTAAAAGGAGAAAAAAATCACGTTGTTCTTGTGATTGAGAAAGATCCTCACCCGCACGTAGGTACGATGAGAAAGTTTACTGACTTAGCTTCACTCCAATACCAAAATCCAAAAAAAGCTACACAAATGTAGAGTTAATTAGCAAAACTATCAGATTCGATTTTTATTACAGAAACTGTAAAGACGAGTGGACCAAAGACATTTATCAGTGAAGAAGGAGGCTGAAGAGAATGAGAAGTTATTACAGTACCTGAGACTTTCGAGCTGAATGGTAATTAAAATGGGGAGAGAATATTTATAAAAAAAAAAAAAAGAATCTTTGTGTGAGCCCAGATCTCAAAAAACAAAAGCTTTGCCTTTGATGATCTAAACCTTAAAAGATCTAGGGCTACAAGAGACAATAGATGAGAAGAGAAAGAAAGATAACGAGAGTGTTGGATTTTTTGGTGTTTTTGTTTTTGGTAATAAATGTTAATATATAAGCTGTCTCAAATGAAGAAGAACATACAAGTATCGAAAACGATTCAGATCCTCGATTTGTTTTCTCTCTCTTGGCTTTGAAATAAAGAAATCGACTCGGAACAAGTGTTTAGACTTTTCTCTTTTATGTTAACTGTTTAGTTATCTTCTAAACAAACGCCTCCACCACACCACACCACACCAGTCGATTTTTCCAATGATGGTGGAATCAAAAAGAAAGAAACTCGAGATAGACAAGTACTTTTGTAATAAAAAAAACCTTTTTTTGTAAGAACTTCTGATCACTTCTTGGCCCGTTCAAGCTAAACATATGGGCTACACAAAATTTACAATTTGGGCCCAATTACATTACTATTCTTTAGCTTAGACCCGTTTATTATAATCGGATCTTCCCAAACCAGTAGGGAAAAATTGGAGAAATTAGCCAAACCGGACACAAACCATTTTGCAATTTTTCTTTTTTAATTTTTTCATTTTTCTCTAAACCCTAAAAAAAGGTTCAACGCCGTTCGTTTGTTGGTTGTTCTTCATTCATCCCTCTGCCACGCACACACCTCCAGAAGCAGCACCTGTTCTAGACAGACGCTTATAATGGCGAATCGACCTGAGTTGTTAGCTCCGCCGGAGATATTCTACGATGAAACTGAAGCTCGGAAGTATACTTCTTCATCCCGTATCGTTGAAATTCAGGTTTTCAATTGTTTTTTCCCAGAAGAAATCTCTATCTCTCTCTCTCTCTCTGTTTCTTCTGAAACTTTGCACTTGTGCTCTCTTATATGATTCCACTGTTCCTGTTATAGGCGAGGTTGTCAGAGAGAGCTTTGGAGCTACTTGCTTTACCTGAAGATGATGTTCCTAGATTCTTACTCGACATAGGTATCAAAAAAGGATCCTTTTGATTTTATAATCTCCTCCATTGGTCGATGAATGAACAAAATAATCTGTGTATCAATGCTGAAATTTTGAAAATTTTGACAGACCATGGTCTGAAATGTTGAAATTTTTTGACAGAACATGGTCTAAAATTTAGTCTTTTTAGATCATCATTTATCTTAGTATCTTTTAATTTAGTTTTTTTCTGCAAGATCAGAGAATAAGTAATCTATATTCTTGTTAAGGTTGTGGATCTGGCCTGAGTGGGGAAACAATTTCTGAAAACGGACATCATTGGATTGGTCTAGACATTTCAGCTTCAATGCTTAGTAAGTTTATTTTTTTGAAGGGTTTATTGTTATTCCCTGTTTCTTGTTATCTAAGCCTTCTTCTAACTTTGGTAACAATGTAGATGTCGCTGTGGAACGAGAAGTTGAGGGTGATCTTTTACTTGGTGACATGGGGCAGGTAATATAGCTTCACTTTTAGTTTCATCATCTTCTCTTAGAATTTGTATGTTTACATATTAGTGATTGCTTATCCACATATTACTATCTCAGGGATTAGGTCTTCGTTCTGGAGTTATCGATGGAGCCATCAGTATATCAGCTGTTCAGGTTTTACTTCTCAAATTGCCTCATCGTTTGTTTTGGGATCTACACTGCCTCATTTTTATATCTCATCATATGCTTATGTTGATTATTAATCAATTCTTCCTTCTTTTCTGATTTCAGTGGTTATGCAATGCGGATAAGTCATGTCATGAACCTCGTTTGAGGCTAAAGTAGGTGTAAATGATTTACTGAACTCAATATGAGAGTGTGTCCACAAAACTGATCTTTTAACCTCTCAATTTCTTCAGGGCTTTCTTTGGGTCACTGTACCGCTGCCTGTCAAGGGGAGCACGAGCCGTTTTTCAAGTGTACCCTGAGAATATTGCTCAGCGTGAATTGATTCTTCGCCAGGCCTTACAAGCTGGATTTGGCGGTGGTCTTGTTGTTGACTATCCGCACAGGTATGTGCTGCCAATTCCATTGATAACATTCTCTTACAATGAAGAAAATAAGTTAGTCGTAAAGTCTTATGAGCTGCTCAAAACTATGCTATCATTTCACTTTGAAGCTGTCTGTTATTGTTTGATTTCACTCATTTAATCGCTGAGATACTCTAAGTCACTATATTAAAGACATCCAATGTTCTCCCTAATGCAGTACTAAGAAAAGAAAAGAGTTCTTGGTCCTCACATGTGGTTCAATTCAGACAAGTATTCAGACCAGTAAAAATGAGCATGGTGAGAGTTGCTCAGAAGATGACTTTAGTGAAGACGAAGAGAGTGGAACGGTAAACCTATGGCACTATCTCGTAAACTCATTACTGTCTTGCTATTTTGCCATTACTATATCGAAATCTCATTTACCATTATTGGGTTTTGTTTCATTTGTTGCAAAAAAAAAAAAAAAAGGTGTCTATGTCAGATCGGAATAGGGCAAGGAAAAGGCAGAAGACTAAAAAGAATAAGAAAGGAAGGGAATGGATTTTGAGGAAGAAAGAGCAAAGTAGAAGAAAAGGAAACGATGTTCCTGAGGACTCCAAGTACACCGGTCGAAAACGCAAGTCGCGTTTCTAGTTTCGTTTGTGATATACTTCAAATGCTATAAAGTTTTGTCATTAAAAAAAGAAAATTTTCAAATACCTCTAGTTTCGTTTATGATACTTCAAATGCTAAAGTTTTTCAAATTGTTTGTACTCAAAATTTTTGTTGCTATTGTCAAATGCATCTTTTTAGTTCTCGTTGTCTTGGCAAACTAACACCAAAAGTAAGTCTTCACAAATGAGATAAAAAAGGAAAATGCCTACCTTTTTGCCCCCGGCTAGATTTTTATCTGTGACTTGGTATTTTTCAAGTTTGATGTTCTAAATCTTGATCTCATTGATGTTTTGTTTGACTCCACTTTAAGAGCATGTTTAAGAGCATGTCCAATGCAAGTATGTTAGAAAATTTCTTAGTCATAAAGGGTAAAAAAATAAATCAAAAATATGTATTAACCTAAGAAAAATATCTTAGTTGGAAATTTTGAAGTCGGTTTTTAGTGCAAGGTGTAGGCAATTGATTGGTTTGAGATTTGTACTTCAAACTTGTTTTCAAAGCAAGTTTTTTAATTATAATTTTAAAAACTTTGAATTTAGAACTTTACTATTGGAAGCATATATTTATTTTCATCTTCAAAAATTTCTTAACTTCATAACTTTTATTTTTTATAATTACAATAATGCTAAAAAATTGTTTACAACTTTAGCATTGGGATAGTCTTATTTCCTCATTTACTATTAAATCTTGTAGGACATTTTGTTAAGTATTGAACGTTGCTGCGAAACAAACAGTGAGCAAGATTGCAAGACTATGAAGTGTGACATAGGATCTGATCCAGGGAGCACATCCCCTGGTTCACTTTCAAATCCAAATCAGTTGACGACTATTCCCAAAGACGATGACGAATCCGAGATTATGAATCCGGGGATCTTGTGTGCAGTTAGAGCAGGTGACAAACTCTCCCTCCTGACAAGGGTAAAATCTGACGAAAAGGTCATTCAACGACTCTTAGACAATCAAGGGAACACCATACTTCATATCGCTGCTGCTTCGGCTCATGTCCACATTGTGGAGTACGTTACCTCTAAACTCCTGATTCTTGTACAAAAACGGAATTTGAAGGGTGAGACGGCTCTTCATGTTGCAGCCAGAGCAGGCAATCTCAATATCGTTGAGTTTCTTGTTTCGATTCATTACAGAGTCTTTATGTGATGATACATTCATTGCTGCCAAAAGCAAGAACGGTGACACTGCAATACATGCTGCCTTGAAAGATGGACATGCAGAGGTGGCTTTCTACTTAGTAAGTGTGAAGCATGATCTATCATTTGAGAAGAACAATGATGAAACATCTCCATTATACCTGGCTGTAAAAGCTGGAAACTTTGAACTCGTAGATAAAATGCTTGAATATTCATGTTGCCCTTCTAAATTAGCTTCGCTGTTGAGTGGAGGAAAATCTCTTATACATGCAGCAATGAAGGCAAATAGAACTGGTTTGTTCTTATGGCTCAATATGTATATATTTATTGTTCAACCTTGTACGCCAAGTTTCTATATGTTTTCATTCTTTCTTGGCTTGGCAGATATACTTGGTATAGTTCTTCGTCAAGAACCTGGACTTATTGAATTACGAAACGAAGAAGGAAGGACGTGTCTTTCGTTTGGAGCATCGACGGGATCTTACGAGGGAATCCGCTATATACTAGGAGAATTTGGCAAAGCAGCTGCAAAACTTTGTTACGTCAATGATGATGATGGCTTCACGCCGATTCATATGGCGGCAAAGGAAGGACATGTTCGAATCATCAAGGAGTTTCTTAGAAACTGTCCTGACTGAAGAGAGCTACTTAACAGTCAATGTCAGAATATTCTTCATGTTGCTGCGGAAACTGGTAAGTCCAAAGTTGTCAAGTATCTTTTAAAACTTGACGAACAGAAAAGAATGATGAATGAACAAGACGTCAATGGAAACACACCGTTACATCTAGCCACCAAACACAGACACCCGATGGTTGTGAATATACTGACATGGAAAGATGGGATTAACCTAGCAACACTGAACAATGATGGCTTTACAGCTCTAGATATTGCTGAGGCATTGAAGGACGACAATACCTACGTACTTCACAAGGTATATATGTATTTCAAAGTTTGTAGATCTATGTAACTGATGCTAAAGCTAAACACGTTGCCCAAAGGACATTGTATGGTATAATCTCAGATAGTTTGTTATATTGGCTTATAGAGATTGACATGGATGGCTCTGGTATCTGCTGGTGCACCACATGGTCTGAAACCGGTTATATCGAACGTGACACCGACTCGCATACCAAATCCAGAAAAATACAAGAATAGTGTTAATACTCTTATGGTGATTGCAACACTTGTAGCAACTGTGACCTACTCTGCAGGTTTCACATTACCCGGTGGTTATAACAGTTCTGCTCCAGATTTAGGCATGGCTGCATTGGTCAACAGAATGAATTTTAAGGTTTTTCTCTTGTTCAACAGCATAGCAATGTGCTCTTCTGTGGTAAGTGGTAACTATAATGGCTCTTCTTTGGGCACAACTGGGTGATGTTCTTCTGACAAAGAAAGCTTTTCAACTAGCTTTACCACTTCTTGCTACCGCACTTGTATCTATGGCGATGGCATTTGTTGCTGGAGTTACTCTTGTGGTGAGCGATCTCCCATGGCTTTCCCATTTTGTATTAGCCATAGACTCGGTCTTCTTTCTACTCCTGATGCTACTTATTATTCCTTACCTTTTCACGTCTGCCAGACAAGGCTTTCTCCGACGCATCTTCTACTTTCCTTACTTTTTGATGCTTTTTGTTGTTAGCGATGACATGGACGGTTGGTTGTTCATAAGTTTTTAATCATGAAAATTGTATTTGAAGTCGAGTGATGTTCTGGTTTTCGACTTTGGTTACAGTAGGCACATGTACTAGTATTTTGTAACATCAAATGTATGAATAATAACATGTTTTCGTAATACGAGGTTGAAACTATATAACAAATTGACCAAAATATGAAAACGAACCATCTCTATGAATATGATTGCGTAATGCGGGATAAAAACCAGAAACAGACATAGATTTCTGACATTACATTATAGTAGTCTCATGACATAAAAGTTTCAACTCAAAAAGAAGCAGAAGAAAAATAAAAATCTCGAGGTAAATAACCTCAGAAACTAAACCTTTCAACAGAGTCGTTTTGTCTCTTAACCAAAGAGATCAAATCCAAAGTCTCCCTCTTCTTCTTCAGACTCTTCCTTCTTCTTCTCTTCCTCCTTTGCGGCTGCGGCGACCTCACCACCACCACCACCTCCTGCTGCTGCACCTCCTCCGGCAGCAAATCCTCCACCACCACCACCACCGATGATCACCTGCTCATATTAACATAAACTTTTCAACACAAAGAATCGAATACGCAATTCAGAAATTATAATTTGTCCTACGCAATTTCAACATTTAGCTTTCGTATCATGCAATTCAATAACCGTTTATCAAGAAGAAGCTAAATCATTGTGATAACTTGGTAATCATATTAAGGAGATACTAAACAAACCAAAATCAGAACCTGATTAGAGGAAAAAATCTCAATGGATCTAAGTTATACACAACTAAGCTGATAATGCAATTACATTGAAGATAAATCCAGATGCAATGTAAAATGAAGAACCTATCAAGAAGAGCTATCAAAAGCCAGAAACAATCTACGATCGCATCAAATAGAGTGATATTAAGCTCAAAATGAGAGCCTAACACAAAACATTTAGCTATCTACATTTCCGTTCATGTCTTCGATTAAAACTAACAACGATCCAGCAATCGAACGTGTAAGCGGAAGAGTAAACAAACCTGAAAGACGGCGGAGGTAGGGCAGACGAGAGAGAAAGAAGACTGAACACCGCCAGATGAATCGGCGGCGAGAGCAGTCTTAACAAGCTTGCGCTGTAGATCGTAAGTGCAAGAAGCTGAGCCTTCAAGTTCTCCTTCGTGTTGCTTTGCGGTCCATTCTCCGCCTTTGCTTTTGCAAACGAAAGTGAATACTCCCATCTCTTCTTCTTCAAATGGCGGCGAGATTTCTCTACTGTGAAAAGATTTGGTCTCACGGCCAAAAAAAATGCGTCTAATCACGTTTATATATGATTTGATTTCACGACGCAGTGAGAGAGAACAAAACCTAAGAACCCTAGAATAAAGACCAGGCTTTATAAAATAGGCCCAATACCAAGCCCATTAAGAAGCTCTTTTTTGGAGATGATTGCTTAAAGCCTTAAACAGTTTACACTTGTAGTAGGTTGTAACTGTATATAAGTTTCAAAGATTCTCTGTGCATTTACATCAAGAGGCTCTTTGATCTGATGAACTGAAACTTCTGTATCTGGTAAGCACAGGTTTGTTATAACTTCCGAAAGAATATACTAAATTAATAGATTTAAGTATTTAATTTAATCATAGTAATTTAATCATAGGATTAAAATCAACAAAATTTCCTCAAAGATGGAGGGGAATCAACATTTATGTGGTAAATTCGCTCTTTACGTTTAGAGCCTTATTAGTTATTACCTACCAACTTTTACAGTTTGGGTTTAAAACAGCAGAACCAAAAGAGATGAACAAAGGTCAGAGCTTTATGGCAGAGTGAATGGCAACAACTCCACCAACAAGGTTCTCGTACTCCACCTTCTCAAAGCCTGCGTCTGCGATCATCGCAGCAAATCGCTCCTGCATTCAATTTATGCATCTAGTGATTACAAGACATGCTTTGAACTAAAAACGTCTTATAGACCAGACATCACCTGATCACACACAATGCGCACATAATAATCATAGCTATCATACCTTCAACCTGATCTTCTTACTGGAATCTAACACAACCTTTTAGCTATAGTATTGATCATGCCAAGATGTTACTAATGCTTTTGAAGAAGCCCAAGTTAAAACTTAAAAGTCATCTTAATGCATGAATCGAACACAACCTTTAACTAAAGATTTGATCGTGGCATGTTATTACTAATGTTCTTGAAGAAACCAACAAGTTAAAACATCTTATGATGACTACACCATTTTTACACAAATCTTGCAAGTTGTGCAGCAAAATAACTAAAACACAAACTAAGCTCAAAATTGTGTGTAATTATATACCATATTTCAGAAAGGTAACAAAGGTTGAATGTTTTTACCTGAGGGGGAAACCGACGAACACTCTCAACCAAGTACTGATACGATTCCCTGTCCCCGGCAATTAGTTCCCCTAAGTTTGGGATGACTTGGAAAGAATACAAATCGTATCTACAACACAAAAACAAAGTGAGATTATCAAAGAAACAAAAATAGACTTCGGTACTTGTTTCCACAACATGTCTAATCATCTAAACTTACAGATTTTTGAAAACTGGAATCTCTACATGGCTAAGCTCAAGGCACAAGAATCTTCCTCCCCGTTTTAGTACCCTAACAGTGTGAAGATATTTATAAGATTATACATAAATGCTGTAACAACAGGAAAAAACACCCGAATCGAGGAGGATGTAAGTATTTGTACTAGGTACCTATAAGCCTCAGCTAGAGCCTTTTCAATGTGTGTGACATTTCTTATTCCAAATGCAATAGTGTATCCATCCATTGAATTATCATCGAAACTCAAGGCTTCTGCATCTCCTTCCACCCACACGAGTGACTTGTTATCTCTTAGACCTATTCAAGATAGCAAAGGAAGCCTGAGTTCACACATACATAGAAAAAATAGAAAGGAATAAAGAGGATACAAATTTGATGCACAAAGATATATGATGTCTCACCTCTCTCAGCAGCTCGTTGTTTTCCAACGTTTAACATGTTAGAATTAATGTCACATACATATATCTGAGTCTCTTCGAGAGAAGCCTCATCAACTTTCTGCAATGCTCTTCGTTTGACACTGTAAATAGCATCGTAGATCCTAAACGCGACATCACCTGCGTATTACAACCAATATCTATGAGAAAGAGTCTTAGAAAGTTTTAAATTATAAGATGTATGGATTCGTGATCAGAGGCAGCAGATTCCATGTTTAACTGTTTTGACTAACCTGTTCCACCGGCCACATCAAGATGCTTCATCCCTGGAAATGGACTCAGCTTCCCAACAAGTCTGAATTCAGAAGCCATTCAAAAGTGTCAAATTTTACACAAGAACAATTCAGAACACCGGTGACTAAACTATCACAGAGTCTAACCTTTCCTTCCATAACCTATGCAAGCCACCACTCATCACATCATTCATAATATCATAACTCGAAGCTACATTGGTGAAAACGTTACCAACCAATTTGCTTTTATCTTCTTCCTTTATTTCTTGAAACCCTGAAAATCAAAAACATTTTAAATTTAAACTCACACTGTAAAACTCAAAGAGAGATCATAATCTAGAATACCAAAGAACCAAATCAAAAACAAACAAAAAAAGATAGATCTTTAAGAGTGATTACCGAAACTTGTGGCATGAGAATGAAGCGAAGCAACAAAGGAACGGTGATTCAAAATTCTGCTCCCGATCCTCCTGCTTACTGATCGAAGTGCCATAGCTCTCTTATATATAATTAGAAATTATAATCGTATACTCCAAATCCTGTTCCTACAACAATCAAATCACACAAATTTAAGATGATGATGAGACCATTTCACCTATACATTAAAACAGAGAAGCTTTCGAGCTGTCATATGAATGCACCGACTCACCGGAAAAAAAACACGAAGCCCTAATTTGAAATCTACACTTACAAATTAAGCTCGAAGAAGGACAGTTCTAAACTCCATAATTAACGAAAGCTATATCGAAATGAGATAGTATAGTTTAAGAAAATATGTAAAAATTTCGTCGACTCACAAGCTCCCACCGAGATCGAGTGTGGTATAACACGTGTTGTTGTTGGAGGACACGTCGGTGCCGGGAACCGACCAGAGGTTTTGACGGAGGAAGAAACAAGGAGCGGTGGAGTTTGTTAATTGTGTTATGGCTCCTCTCTTCTCTCCACCTCTACAGAAGAACAGATTGGGCTTGTGTGAAAAATAAGCCCTCATATTTTAGTACCAAGAAAAGGCCCATTATGCTATAGTCCCGGTTCATATTAATCTTAAGTTGGTTTGCTTAACCGATAAATTGAATTGGAGTGGGTTTAAGTTATAAAACTACTCATCGGGAAAAGTAGAAACCATGATCGGAATACAACAATTAAAGGATTCGAGAATCGAAACTCTGATCAAACTTTTTTTTTTTTTAAACCCTAATTCGGAGGTTCATGTGAGTAAAGTGAAGATGAGGAGAGTCGAATCTGCTATGACTCGGAATCCACTGGCGCGAAAACCGCCGTTTAAGCCTACGGAAATGGCCGGAAAATTGTTCGGCGAACCAGGAAGGCGAAATCGTAGGAGCAGAGATGATAGAGAGAGAGAGAGAGAAATAAGAAATTCACTTGCGACTGCTGCGGCTGTGACGGATGATACTGTGCGGCGAGGAGACGAACTCGTTAGTGCATTTTGTTAATTCAGCTGACGATTTCTTTCTTTTTTCCTTAAAAAAAAAAATTTCATTATGAACATTACATTTCATTTTTAAATCAATCTACAATTTTTTTGTTTTTTTTTTGTTTTAAGAGAAATACAAATATTGGATTAAACATTTTATGTTATCTCTCTCTTCTCTTTTTGCCGATTTTTTCGAAGTGAAAAACCTGAAATAGCGGGAAGAAGTCTTCACCACAAAGTTCGTTTTTTATTTTCTCGGATCATCACATTTTACTTTTCCTTCTACCATTTTTTTTTTTTCACAACTATGAACGCAGCATTATACGTTATTCGATCTTCTTTGACAAAAAAATCTGTAAAAGGTATCAGCTTCATGCATGTGTTCTTTCTTCTTATGCTGTTCTTATAATCGTCCATCTCGTTTTTTTTTTGCTTTTTCCTCATAAGACTTTGTTTTCATTTTTGATATCTTTGTGCCTCTGATTCAATCTGGCTTTTACTTGTTCACATTGGATTATTTGAACGCGATTGTGGGGACTTTTCATCTTGTTGTTGGTTTTTTTGCCTGCGAATCTCATCTGTTCCGTTTTAAATTCGCAGCTTCTTTTTGAGAATCAGGGTATCTATTCTTATGTTTTGGTTGCTGAGTAGACGATAGATAATGTTTGCGGTTTACGATGCTTATCTCAACGATTCTAGTACCTACATTGTATGCATTTACTTTTGTGTATATCAGAATATCTCGTTTGTTTGCTTGTTACTCGCATTGAGATCTTGAGAAGAACTTCTTTGTTTCTTTTCGGAAGTTCTGCATTTACACCGTCCTCCGATTTTGTATTGAAGTATCGATTCATAGTCGTTAACTTATCTCTACAGGTTTGGTTTGTTTCTTGGAAATTCAGAAGCTAGGGAGAGTTTAAGATTTGCACAAAACCAAAATGACGTTTTGCATGAGAGATTTGGATCAGGCTCTCCAAGGAGCTGGCCAGAAATCGTAATCTTCTTTTCACTTCTAATGTTTTACATTTTAAGGCCTTGCTGCATTGCTTTTGATTCATCTCTTCTTTACTTATGTTAATTGTATATACAGCGGGATTGAAATTTGGCGCATTGAGAGCTTCAAACCTGTCCCTGTTCCAAAAGAGTCTCATGGTAAATTTTTCACCGGGGATTCCTATATAGTCTTAAAGGTCGGTATTCTTTCTTGCTTCGTCTTTGGTTTACTGCTAAATAGTTTATGATAGTGTCTAAAACCTTCTTATCTAACTATCTCATACCAGACCACCGCGTCAAGAAACGGTTCCGTACATCACGATATTCACTACTGGCTCGGTAAAGATTCCAGTCAGGTAACAATCTATTCATATTCTTGGTCTTTGGGCATATTCTTTTAATAATATAAGAATCACGGTAATGTTTTGATGTAAACAGGATGAAGCAGGTGCTGTCGCCGTTATGACAGTAGAATTAGATTCAGCGTTAGGTGGGCGTGCTGTTCAGTACCGAGAAGTACAAGGTCACGAAACCGAGAAGTTTCTTTCCTACTTCAAACCTTGCATAATACCTCAAGAGGGTGGGGTTGCGTCTGGGTTCAACCACGTAACGCCCGAAGAGTATCAAACGCGTCTGTATATCTGCAAAGGCAAACATGTCGTCCGTGTGAAAGAGGCAAGTCGATTAACATGTCTTGAAATGATTTTTCCCTCAGCTGATCCTATGTCTCATCTTGATTTGCATTATTTTTTTTCTCATTTACAGGTCCCGTTTGCTCGATCGACTCTCAACCACGAAGACGTTTTTATTCTGGATACAGAGTCTAAAATTTTTCAATTTAATGGTACTAAATCGAGTATTCAAGAAAGAGCAAAAGCTCTTGAAGTTGTTCAGTACATTAAAGACACTTACCATGATGGAAAGTGCGATATCGCAGCTGTTGGTTAGTGAAATAAACTGTCATAAACCATGGAGACTAGGATTTTATACCAACTATATTGATTTTAATGTGCTTTTCTTTTATTGTAGAGGATGGGAGGATGATGGCTGATGCTGAAGCTGGAGAGTTTTGGGGTTTGTTTGGGGGGTTTGCTCCGCTTCCTAAGAAACCAGCAGCCAATGATGACGCAACCGCTGAATCTGATGGGATCAAACTCTTCAGGTAGAACACCTTTGATCATAACAGAATTTCCTCGTAATTGACTTATTACTGCAACAGATTATTATGTTCTGTCTTGAGACATGTTTTGGTCTTTTCAAGTGTCGAGAAGGGAAAGACAGAACCCGTAGAGGCTGAGTCTTTGGAGAAAGAGCTTCTGGACACTAACATATGTTATATTCTCGATTGCGGTCTTGAAATGTTTGTTTGGAAGGGAAGAAATACTTCAATTGACCAAAGAAAGAACACAAGTGAAGCTGCAGAAGTAATTTTCTTCTCATTTACCAAAGCAATTGTTATGCTTATGGGTTTTGTTCACGGTAACATTGTCATTCTTCATTTTTTCAGGAATTTTTCCGTTCTTCTGAACGGCCAAAATTAAACCTGGTCAGTGTGATGGAAGGGTATGAAACAGTGATGTTCCGATCTAAGTTTGATTCATGGCCAGCTTCAAGTACGATAGCTGAACCCCAGCAAGGCAGAGGCAAAGTTGCAGGTTTAGTATACTAATACTATCCACAATGATCAAATTGCTCAAAGTTTATAACTTTCAATTATGAGATACTTGCTCTGTTTTTATTTTCCCAGCTCTTTTGCAACGCCAAGGAGTTAACGTTCAAGGCCTGGTTAAGACTTCTTCTTCTTCTTCTAAAGATGAACCAAAGCCATACATTGACGGAACAGGAAATCTCCAGGTATAGTGACTATGTTTTAGTTGATACCGGCATTCGAATAAGTGAACATAATCAATACATTGTCTTTTTTCTTACACATTTCGTGATCCCATGTCTATATCACTTTTCGTTGTTAACTATGAAAATTTTCAGGTCTGGCGGATCAATAATGAAGAAAAGATCCTTCTCGAAGCAGCAGAACAGACAAAGTTCTACAGCGGAGATTGTTATATATTCCAGTACTCCTATCCCGGAGAAGACAGAGAGGAACATCTAGTGGGTACTTGGTTTGGCAAGCAAAGCGTCGAGGTAAACTTCTTTACATACTGTATAACTTCTTACTCTCTATGTGTGCTAATTGATGATGATTTATATAGGAAGACAGAGCATCTGCGATTTCGATGGCAAGCAAGATGGTTGAATCCATGAAGTTTATGCCAGCTCAGGTGCTTATTCCTGTTTATGTTATAGATTCTCAGGTCAATTTACATTCTGGATACAACTTTATTAGTCGTATTCAGTGCAGGCTCGAATTTACGAGGGAAAGGAACCAATTCAGTTTTTTGTGATCATGCAAAGCTTCATCACATTTAAGGTCCAATATCTAGTTTTTTCTTCAGGTTTTTTCTTCTGGTAGGTTTAATGTAATTTTTATCACAATCTCTACAAAATTGTTATTTTCTCTTAGGGTGGTCTAAGTGATGCTTACAAAAAGTACATAGCAGAGAACGAAATCCCTGATACTACTTACGATGAAAAAGGTGTTGCACTGTTTCGGGTTCAAGGTTCTGGACCTGAGGACATGCAAGCCATACAGATAGAAGCAGTATGTGTACTATAAACCATGATTAAACAGCTGTCTTGTTCAACTGTTTATATTGGAAATGCAAATAATTGTCTGGTTCCAACAGGTTTCCACAGGATTAAATTCTTCACACTGTTATATATTACACGGCGATTCAACTGTTTTCACTTGGTGTGGCAATCTAACTTCCTCGGATGATCAAGAACTTATGGAGAGAATGTTGGATTTGATTAAGGTAGTCAGTTACTGAGCTTTGTATTTGCATTTCAGAACGTACTTCTTAGATCTCACATATGGTGGAACCTCTGTTTCTTGGATTCCTTTTTCTCATTTGTACAGCCAAATGAACCAACCAAGGCACATAAGGAAGGTTCAGAGTCCGAACAGTTTTGGGAATTGTTAGGAGGAAAAACAGAATATCCGAGCCAAAAGATAAAAAAGGATGGAGAAAGTGATTCTCACCTCTTCTCTTGCACATTCTCAAACGGTAAAACCATTTTGCAACATTTTTTCCGTTCCAGGATTTTTCCTTCAACTTTTCACAATCCAATAACTGTTCTGAACTCGTATTTTATTGTCTTTTTGGGTCTTCCGGTGATACTCTGTGGATGTTGCTATCTTTACCAGAAGATCTGAAGGTAGGATATGGCTTTCATTTTTATATGGCATGTTCATGTGATGATCTCAAACTTTGGGTGATTCTTCTTTCTTCCTTCCTTTCTATTCCATATAGGTTACAGAGATCTTCAACTTCACTCAAGATGATTTGATGACTGAAGATATCTTCATACTTAATTGTCACACTGAGATCTTTGTCTGGGTGGGGCAACAAGTTGACCCCAAGAAGAAACCACAAGTTTTAGCCATTGGAGAGGTACTTTAAGATCCATTCAATTTGATTAATGTACAAAACTGCATACTAAATCTTATAGATCCTTGGATTCATTGTCTTCCCCAACAGAAATTCATCAAGCATGATTTCCTCCTAGAGAATCTAGCTAGTGAAACACCGATATATATTGTAACGGAAGGAAATGAACCTCCATTTTTCACTCGGTTCTTCACCTGGGACTCTTCTAAATCTGGAGTAAGTCAAACTTCTCTCTCTCTCTCTCTCCATCTGGCTTGAAATTTGCTCCTCGGAATCTAACTCATACTAAGCGATATAATTGCTTCTTGCAGATGCATGGAAACTCTTTTCAGAGAAAGCTTGCAATCTTGACAAACAAAGGAAAGCCACTTCTAGATGTAAAAGCTTTAACTCATTTGGTTACATTTGACTAAAATCAATCTTGATTCTGTCTTGATGTTATGTCCTCCTTTTGCTCAGAAACCTAAAAGGAGAGTCCCTGTATATAGCAGCAGGTCCGCTGTTCCAGACAAATCGCAGCCTCGGTCCAGAAGTATGACCTTTAGTCCAGACAGGGCCCGTGTGAGGGGACGGTCTCCAGCTTTCAATGCACTTGCAGCAAACTTTGAGAACTTAAACATAAGAAACCAATCAACTCCACCACCTATGGTTAGTCCAATGGTCCGGAAACTTTACCCGAAATCTCTTGCCCCAGACCTCTCAAAGATTGCTCCAAAATCTGCAGCTATAGCTGCCCGTACAGCCCTTTTCGAAAACTCTCCGCCTACTTCTCAAGAAGCACCTACTAGCCCCAGTTCTTCTGAAGGTCTGCAGCAAAAACAGAACTTCATATTTGAACTCCAAACTATCAATTCGGTGAATAAAGTTGATCTTGTGCTTACCCTTTTTGTTTTTAAATTGTTTTTGATGTATGAAGCTACAAACCAAGCAGAGGCACCAGAGCCAACATCAGAGACGAAAGATGAAGAAGCAATGAGCAGCATTCATGAAGATTCAAAAGAAGACGAAGCAGAAGAAGAGAGCAACCTCCCTACTTTCCCATACGAACTCCTCAAAACCGACTCAGAGGATCCTGCATCAGATATCGACCTCACAAGAAGAGAGGTCAGATTCCTCAAAACACTTGAACACTTATTATGTATAACATTTGTATATTGGCTTTGTGTTTAACGAGGTCAGCTTGGTTTTTGCAGGCGTACTTGACTTCATCAGATTTCAAGGAGAAATTTGAGATGACAAAGAATGAGTTCTATAAACTGCCTAAATGGAAACAAAACAAGCTGAAAATGTCTGTTAGTCTCTTCTGAACACTCTTCTTTCAAGAACTCAAAGTCTTATTCCTTCTTCATCTTATCCCAAAACCCCAGTAAGTTTTCTGCCTTTTTCACTGGTGTGTTCTTATCTCGTTTTGGTGAAATCTTTTACACCTATTGACAAAACAAAGAGATCCTGTTGTTGATCTTTCTTCCTATTGCTTTTGCAGTTCAAGAAAACACAAAGAGGGCTATCATACATTTTATCTGCAATCTTTTGAGCTTCTTACAAATAATCAAATGCAAAATTCGTATATTCTCTATATTTATTTATAATATATATACGTATTCAAATTTTCCAAAATGATACATAGGATTTTTTATTTGTTTGTTTATGATCTCACATATATGTCTGGCTGTGAGATTCTTTCTTTTTTCCTGGCCTTGATTTTTCCTCTGTTCCTTATTATTGAAGAACCAATGTAAATTAAATCTTATCTTTATCCTGTTATATATTGTATGGTCAATAAACTTCATTAGTCCATAATTTTATTTTTTTATCACTTTACGCAGTCGTAAAAGTTGACTTGACAAAACAAAGAAAAATTAGAATACAAAACATAACGCAGTCGTAAAAGAGAGAAGGTTTGAGCAAAAACGGCAAAAAAAAAAAAAAAAAAAAGTTGCAGCAACCTTTTACTCGTTTTGCGTGAAGAAGCAGTGAACAAAAAAAAAGCGAAAAGAGAGTGAGAGAAGTAGAGTAAAAACGACGATATATACGGGAAATCTCAGGATCTCGATCCTGTTCTTGGTTTTTGTACTTTCAGTACTCTCCATGGCGACGAAGCGTCATCATTTTGAGCTCGCGAAAGGCATCAATGGCCTTGATAAGATCGTCCTCCGCGAGTCTCGCGGCCGCTCTGCCGAGGTAAATTTCCACCTACGATGCCGCAGGCTCGTTCTCACTGTTAATTTGTTTGATGTAGATCAATTTGAATTGGAGATCGATTTTTGTCGTATGGATTATGATTTGTGAAATTTTTCTTAGATCCTTGGGTTTTAGACGAGTTGTAGTGTAATTGAGTTCTGTATCTGTGTATGCAAACGGAAGAACCGGATCTGTGTGTTTAGCTTACTGGTATTTCGATGAAGGATGTGTTAATGTTTAGTCTAACCTATGGATCTGTTGCTGTTTACACAGAGGTGAATTGATTTTTTTGAGTGTGAGCTCTCTGCAAATTTTCCGATATCCATCGTGTTTTTTTCTGTGTTATTACTTTTCTAAAATTCTTAGTGTTGTGGAATGAATGCAGGTATACTTGTATGGTAGTCATGTAACTTCTTGGAAGAATGAGAACGGAGAGGAGTTACTTCACCTCAGTAGCAAGGTACTCCTTATCAGTACTGTCTTCAACTTCATTCAGTATTGAGTTTCTAGTTAATATAACGGGACATTTGGTTCATGATGAATGTTTCCAACTTCGTTAGAGATGATATGGTACCTTAAAGAAGTTGAGTTCGATGATTCACATTTATGTATCTCACTTTATTTCTCTCGTTGATTGTGTCTCTATAATGCAAAAGCGAGATTTCTGTTTTAATATAGCGTAATTGTCTCATTGTCTCAAAGAAGTTCATGTAAGATTGGGTGAAATCTTTGCCTAAATTTGGTTATTTACATTGATCAACATGCAAAAGGAAAAGATCTTTACTTCATTTCTTAAAGAAGCATGTGAAAGAATAGACAACATTTTTACTTTGAGGTCTAGTAATTTGTGAATACTAGAATAGTCTTTCTTACCCGGCATGTGTGTATATGAGCTACAAACGGTACATATCTGAAACTATTTGTTATGAATTGTGCAGGCCATATTCAAGCCCCCAAAACCTATTCGTGGAGGGATTCCACTATGCTTTCCACAAGTAAGTGCCTGTATTTCTTCCTTTGTTTGTTCCGTTTTAGAGTTCATTATTCTTATGAGTTTCTCTTTTTTTGTGCGTGCAGTTCAGTAACTTTGGTACACTTGAATCACATGGATTTGCTAGAAATAGGATTTGGGAAATTGATGCTAGCCCGCCTCCTTTGCCATCGAATTCTTGTTCTAATGCATTTGTTGACCTGATCCTAAGGCCAACTGAAGACGATCTGAAGATCTGGCCTCACAAGTATGATTCTTCAAAGACTCGTTCTCTATATTTTTTTCAAAACAATAGGCTTTTATTAAATTTAAACGAAAAATATCTCACAGAGAGCATTACTAACTTTCTTTCATCTTGGTGGGTTCATTTCAGTTTTGAGTTCAGGCTGAGGGTAGCCTTGGGGACCGAAGGAGAGTTAACTCTGACATCTCGTATCAGGAACACCAATTCTGATGGAAAGCCGTTTACATTCACATTTGCTTATCACACCTATTTCTCTGTCTCTGACATCAGGTAAATCTCATTGCATACATTTATTTACTTCTTTTTTAAGGAGATCTGGAATATAAATAAAAAATTTGTAATATGCATTGGTTTTTCTTGTCCTCAGTGAAGTACGGGTTGAAGGATTGGAAACATTGGATTATCTTGACAACTTAAAGAACAGAGAACGTTTTACTGAACAAGGCGATGCAATAACTTTTGAATCTGAAGTAAGTTTTCTATTCCAATCTCTTCGTTTCTGAAATATCTCTTTTGTCTAGTATCTTCATCACTCATAAGAAAACACTTGTTACTTGGTGAAAAAATAGACTGACAAGATTTATCTAAGCACGCCTACAAAGATAGCCATCTTGGACCACGAGAAAAAGAGGACTTTCGTTATTCGCAAGGACGGGCTTGCTGATGCTGGTAAGATCCGAAACCCTGTCTTTCGCATTGAGATCAGTATCTGAGTGTTTTTTTTTTAATATGAGTGAATCATCTTTCAGTGGTGTGGAATCCTTGGGATAAGAAATCAAAGACGATCTCTGACTTGGGAGATGAAGACTATAAGCATATGCTTTGTGTGGAAGCTGCAGCCATCGAGAGACCGATCACATTGAAACCAGGGGAAGAATGGAAAGGAAGACTCGAACTCTCTGCAGTGCCTTCTAGTTACTCCAGTGGACAGCTTGACCCCAAGAAAGTCCTTGAGTGACTCTTTCAAACTCCAAAATTATCATATTTCTCTTCTCTTTAAACGCAGGTAACTTCACTTTACTCTTCGCCAGTTAGATTCTTCTTGAGCACATACAAATCTTCCGTTTTGATTTTCATATTCTGTCAGTTTTGCTTAATGATTAACATTTTTTGTCTATCATTTTAATAAAGTTACATTTGTTTGTACAGGACCATAAAAACCAGTGAAGGGAGGACTTGAAGATCATCGGATATACTATTAAAAGAAACTGAGATTGAATAAAATTGTTGCATAATGCTTCTTGGTTCTCTCTGTTGTAACCACAGACAATAAACGATTTGAGGATCAAGACAAGAGACTTCCACCTGAAATTTTCTAAATGTCCGCTAGATTTATATATTTCATGGTTAATTCGATACTAATACTACTAGTAAATTATTAGTAGTAATATAGGTTGACAAAACAGTTGACTGTAACGTTGGGAGGTAATGAATAATTTATACGTTAAGCGAACTAACCTAAGTACCCAACCTGGTCTTTAGTCTTCGTCTGCTCGAGTCCAGAGGTATTTCGACTTGTCAAATTTGTGGGTTATACCTGATGCGCTGATAAAGTTTGCTCGTGTCAAAAGGTTTTGGGTAGGTTGTTCGCGTTTGGTTGGTCTAAGAACACGTTTATACGATCTCTCCAGTTCCAAAAAGTGAAAATTTTGACCCCAAGTACTCTCGTCGTAAAAGGTAAAGATCTCAATATCAGAACAGGATCTAAGGAAACCATGATTTTTGGATCTTTACCATGAGTAGGAGGAGGATATGGTGTATGGTGTATGGTGTATGGTGTATAGTGTATAAGTGAAAAGTTGATGTATGTGTCCTGAGTTGATACATCCATCCACTTTTTCCAAATGACAACAAGTAAGCATTAACTCCAAAATTAGCATTAAGAACATATATAATTATTTATAGTATTCAGTTACAAAAGTTAATGGTCTGATATCGAGTATGGACCGTCAATTATGGAAGTGCCATGATAATAATTGATAAGTAACTAGTACTACTAACTCGAGATCAAGTACAAAGATCAAAAAGGACGAACGTGGGATTTATTTACAAATTACATCTAACAAAGATACTGTTTCTGTGAAAACGAAAATCCATTATTAAAAAAAGAAAATAAAACAAAAATAAGGCATTTTGTTTTTTTGGATCCACACAAGATTAGACCATCCCCGATGCTAAAGTTGTAAACAAGTTTTTTAGCATTATTGTAATTACAAAAAATATAAGTTATGAAGTTAAGAAATTTTTGAAGATAAAAAGAAACATATGCTTCCAATGGTAAAGTTCTAAGTTTAAAGTTTTTAAAATTATAATTAAAAAAATTTGCTTTGAAAACAAGTTTGAAGTACAAATCTCAAACCAATCAATTGCCTACACCTTGCACTAAAAACTTTTAGCAAAATTTCTAACTAAGATATTTTTCTTAGGTTAATATATATTTTTGATTTATTTTTTTACCTTTTATAAATAAGAAATTTGCTAACATACTTCCATTGGACATGCTCTTACATCTGGCTCGAACATCAAGAGATTCCCTAGCTTCTGTATTAAATATAATTTTATATAAAAATAATTATTTAAGAAATGATTTTTTTGTCGTAAATGCTTTTTTCTTTGGATACAAAGTCATATTCTGAATCCGATTCATTGTATGTGGGAGCTGAAGTTGTCCTCAAATTTGTTCATCATGATTTTACTATTATAAACATAAAGAAGCAATATTAAATTTTCTCCATAGTAACCAACGATTGTAGTACTCGTTTAGTTTTAGAACTACAAATGCGATACTCAAATATGGTTAATTTGTCTATAGAATTGAATAGTAAAACTATGGAATAACATAATCATTACAATAAACAAATCATGAAATCATATAAATAAACAAATAAAGTTTACAATTGCGAATGATTTCGATTTACGAAAATTTGTATTTTTTTTTACTGATGTATGTTAGTAATATTCTTACAAAAATTGTAGGAACATTCTCACCATATTATCATCAATTAGTGTTACGTTAATTTTTTCCAAAAAAGAAAAAAATGTAATTTCAAGTTTCGTACTATGTCATAAAAATATCCAAAAGCAGAAAGTATCAAGTGAAGAAGATAAGCTAAAGCTAAATCTAATAGTCTACTGACAAGTGGCTTGTAACAGACATGACCCAAGGCCCATGTTTATTCGTTCAGGTATCCGACACGTGGCTTCTAAGTCCCACAGAAATCGCTTGACACAAAAAAGACCTTAATAAATGATGTAATTATCTCAATATATATATATAACTGAAAAATGAAAATGTTTAGCTTTCGTAAACACCATCATCATCAGTGAATATTATGACAATTTTCCACGGTCCGACGATCTACACTAATGTTTCGGCCTGATCTTACAAATATAAAAATATATTAATACCGCCACGGTTTAAATACAAATTTAAATCCAAAAAAAAAAAGAAAGAAAGAAATTATTACACGTACGTATGTGTGTAAGTATGCAATTTGGATTTGGAGACAAAACTCGATGGTTGCATTGCATGTTCCGTTATTTGGATTCTGAACTCTCGTCGTCATATGTAATCTCTATCTAAAATGTAATGATCATCAAGTTTGTGACAAAAAAAAAACCTGTTAACAACTGGCAATGAATCCAATGATCCTGTCCATTTTCCTAGGATTAGTCACTGTTTGGCTTTTAGATTTCGTGTATTCATTTCTGATCATGGTTCCTTATGTATTAATCTACCCCCAACAAAAAAAAAAAAAAGAAAGAAGATAGTTTATAGAAGAAGAAAAAAAGAAGATGTGTGTGTGTATAGTCACTGTAGTGGGGTAGTACAAAGGACCCATTGTGTACGTTTGAAAGGCTACAAGGCGTGCTTACTCTTCATTTTCTTTATTTATATTTATATAATCCCAATTCTATTTTTTTAATTTTATTTTATTTTTAACTCTTTGCTTCCACATGCCGTCACTTCACTTTAACTCCTTTTTTAATTATTATATAACATTTTTAACTAATAATAATAATATCATACTACTATTACTATTACGACCAAATCATTTTCACCGTTTATAATACTTTTGTGATTAGTTTCTTTCATGACATTACATGTATCATTATAAAGTCATTATATGACCAACATATCTTACTACTTTTGGTTTTACCATTTCAAAATGTTATATTCATTCAAGGCCAATCAATCCATATGCATGCATGATTTCGGTTTATGCTAAACATATTCATCTAAACGATAGTTGTTTGAAAGAAAATGTTTTGGTTGTTGATGGCTATTGAATTTTTGTTTAACAATACATAGTTATTTTACATACAAAATCAATATGGTATTATTTATATTACGACCAAACTAATTGTTATTCATATATCTATAGAACATTAGCACTCATGTCTTTTGTTATTGGTACTTATATTATTGTCTAATATGCGGCGGACAAAAAATGACATGTATTTTCTGTGATTCATTTTATTAAAAAAAATAATTCACGTAATTACAATCAAAATTGTTAGGTAAAGCTAAAGTGAGTTATTTAACAAACCAAAAAGCTAAAAAGGAGGTAAGAAAAGTAATTGAAAATATATATGGACAACATTTATCTGCAACGAATATACAACTATCTACAGACAAAACATTGTAAGTCTTCATCGGTCTATATAAATATAATTATATACAGAATCAACAAACAAAATAATTCATGTGATGTAGTACCAATACGATAGTTAGATGTTGACTTGCAGATTCAAACTTTGGAACTCTATAAAAAATCATCTGAGTTTACTAAATTAAGCCAATAAAAGCAATTATCGTGTCGGTAAATTACTGCTAAGTACTTGTACTTTATATCATATCATGTTTGGTTTGAGTTTATTAATTAGAATATTGTTAAGTATTATAAATTAACTACTTTGAGCTTTCCTCCTTGCTTCTCGTCCCACATGGCTCCTCGCCTAATCCAGCCAGCTCTTTGCTCTCTACAATACAATTAGATTGTTATACTATATACGATTACAAATTTAATAACATACGCATGCATCCGCGGATGGAATCATTTGATTTTTCTATTACAACAAATATTGGGAATTAAAATATTGACCGCAGATCAATATGTACTATAGTTTTCTTAAGTGTTTGAATTGTTTATGTACTAATTTACACTAATCTTTTTGGGATCTGGATTTAAGGACGGTAATAGCAGACCACGATGGAGATGAGATTTGTTTTTTAATGCACCGGCAATTAGTTGAAAGATTGGTAAGATCTATGAACTCTTGAGTATTGCAATTAATTATATTCTCTTAAAACATATTAGCATCGTTACTAGTTTAGCCATAGATATTTATGGTTAACTTTGAGACGACATAAGGTCGCCGATAAGTAATTTTTTGTTGTAAAATATTTGGTATTGTACGATAAATATATTACCAAGTTTTCTATTATTTTTTTTTATAAAAGGATATATACGATTATACAATATCACAAATAAATAACTAAATAAATTAAAGCTAAGTGATTATTAGTGAAAATAACGAGTAATAAAGTACACTGATTCAAGTTATAATAACAATTAGTCGGTGCGTAATCGAAGCCCCATGTTAGCACGAGATTTCTTTGAGAGGAGAAAACGAAACAAGTAGAAGACAAGCAACATTTAAATATATATTTTTAAATTATTATAAAATTTAAAATCATGCCACTTAAATCATGTGCTGATAATTTATTTTTAGAGTTGTCCAAAAAAAAAAAAAAAGAGTGTTGTTAATTAGTTTGGAATCTTATGAAGAAACTTAAATTCTATTTCTAGGGTTTTGTTATGGACCGACTCTTTAATTTGTCATTGGCCATAAAATTTAAAACCAAATTAAAAGCGAATAGTTTTTATATATTTACTTAAAAGATTTTTTAACTGGTTAATAATGAATCTAGGCCTATTCATCTCGTCACTTGACAAACATATATGATGAATCTAGGTTTGAGAAATCTCCTAAAACATCAACCATATAATTTTATTTCCAATATATAAAGACATGAAAGTATTCATGATATATGCAAGTGTATGAAAATTGAAAATGTGATTCAGTGTATAGATACTATAAGAGGATCTATCTCATGAAACTTGGTGTCAGATAAAATTGATAATCATGGGATTTTTTGGGTATGGTTGGATAACACCCAGTACGGATGATGATGATGATCGAAGGAGAATATATACGTTTTATTAATATACAAACTGACATAAAAAAAATAGGGAAAGTGGAATCATCTGAATTTCTAAAAATAATACAGAAAACAAAAGGATCATTATTATTATGTTACACAAAAGATATATAGAAGCTTAGCTTTGTCTTCAATTGGTTGTTACTATAATATTTTATTTCTTGTTGATTTTTTTTTTTAAATATTGCTACATGCATATCTTGATCATGTTCCAGTGAGGACTTGTCTGGAATATATTGGCTAAAAAATCACATATTTTTGGTTCATCATTTGTCCAAATCCTCTTGATCTTCTCAATTTTATATTATATCAACACATCCAATTATCTCACACCCCCACTTATATTTATTATTAAAAATAATATATACATACAGAATCTAAAATCATAAGACTTAGGATTCTACAATTTATCAATAATACTCAAATTATGTAAACTCTTGAACATAATAATTTATCTATCTTTTTGAGTTAAGACTTCAACATGATATATATATATACAAAGATTAATTCTCTACTATGTAGTCTATTTCACATAGTGACATTTATATTAATGATGAACAAAAAAAATCATCGATCTTCATATATAAAATGAAGTTATTGTTTTATTTGTCTTTTAGAGAGAGAACATAAAAAGCTAAGCATATGAAACCTCTGAGCTTTTTCCTTGCATCCTTCCTTCACAGTCACAAATAATACCACAGCCTGTCAAAATTTTAGCCTTTTTAAAACTATTTTAACTTCAATCTTTATAAATTATTTGTTTATTAATCCTTATTAAGTTTTAAGCATTTCCTGAGCTGTGAATTCCCATTATTCCCTCTCTCTCTCTCTCTCTCTCGCTCTCACATTCTCTCTCCCTCTGTATCTCTCTATCTCTTCTTCCACACAGAGCTTTTTATTCCATTAATACTAATTGTTGACAAAACAAATCCTATAGTGATCTCTCAGCTTTTGGATTTGCTATGCTTTGAAGCAAGTTGGTAAAGAAGCGTATATATATATATATATATAGTAAGGTAAGTGTGAGATTTAGGTGAGTTTTTGTGGCATGACCGTAGAACATGTGATCAATGAGCTTCTTTGGAGAGAATCACAACTTGGCCACTCTTCTTTTCAGGTAATTCATATAAAAGTTTATTTCTCTGGGTGTTTTACTTGATAAAGGTGATGAACTATATATAGAAAGGTTTGCTATATTATATGTATATATGTGTGTTTTTGTATGCCCATCAAACAGATTCTGTATATAGCCATATAGGTATGCCTCCTGCTATATCTATATTTATATATACATGTGTGTGTGTGTGTGTGAAGAAAAAAGGAAAGACATAACATTGGGTTCTCAAGTTGGTTTGTTTAATACTTCCGTGAAGAATATAGTTTTTAACAATCGAATTTTGATAGCGAAATAGATATTTTGTTTTAAAAAGAAAGAAAGGAAAACAATAAAATGAATCGTCCCTTATCTTTTATAGCCAAATTATTGTCCTTGTCTTATATCCTATTGGGTATCTAATTTGGTACTCTACAAATATAGATTACATAGACATGATCTTCTCATGTCCTTGCGAGCGTGTGTGTGTTGTATACAAGTATACATGCAAGTAGCTTAAGTACATGTGTCATATAATATGATTTATGTGTTGGACAACTTTTGAAAAACAACATCCCAGCAAACAAGGTTAAGTGGAAATTTAGGTGATACATTCCTCTTCACATGAATACAAGAACATAATGAACGATGTGACATTATAGATATAAATTTCTATTTAATTGATTTTAAATAGACAAAAACTTAGGTGATACAGTCTTCTTGGCATGCTCATCAGTTTAATAAGTCTCACTCTCCTATTTCTTGATTTTTTTTTACTGCTCGACTAGTGTTTTTTTTTTAATCTACATGTCTCTATCTATTTTATTTTTATCTTTTTTTATATATTCTAAAGACTCATGCTTATCCAAAAAGAAAAAAGGAAAACAAAAAATCAACAACTTGCTCTCTTTTTTTCCTTCGTCCTTTGCCCATGTTCACCACATATTTTCTATTTATTGCAATTTAAAAACTCGAATCATACTATTTTAAACTTTAGTAGTGAAAATGATATTATTGTACCATATCTCCTCAAATTGTTTCACCAATTTTTATATAAAATATTATATTATACATGTCCTTTATGCATAAGACCAACATTATTAGTAGTATCTTAGCCATCAAGATACTACCAATAATGTTTGCTTTAAGATATATATCCTATTTTGCACATAAATTTTCTTACTAGATAAATATATAGATATTATACCATAAATGATAAATTTAGATATTTTGCATTGGCCATGAAAGTAAATAAATCAATTTTCATTAAAGAAAAAAGCTTTTTAGTAATTTTCAATTCAAAATTAGTAGATCTTTTATATATTGTCTATGAATATGATTACTAACAAAATTTTCAAAAATTTATAATCCACTTTTAGTGATGTATAACTTGTTCCATCCATTGATTTGGTAATCAGAAAGACATTTTGATTCGTTTTTATTTATAAATACTTTGGCTTTGAGACAAAACAACATGAGAGAGAGAATCTAATCAAACAAATATAAGAATTGTGTCCCACTAGTCAACCTTCTTTTGTCTACAAACCCTTCACTTCAAAAAACTAGTGGCTTCTGACGATTACTCCATCAGGATCATATCACATGTAAACTCACATATATACAATCTAAGTTTATTAGGGTTCTTTTTTTTCATGTGTTTATAAAATCATCGAATGGTTATGAAGTGTATGAATGATCTTCGTTTCAGGCATGGGAACAAAGATCGTTGAGCGAATTAGGACAAATCCCCTTGGCTTAAAGAGTGTTGATCATAGTGGATTCATCAGATTTGGCGTTAATGGTCGACGAAAATCGCCAAAGAAGACGTTGACTGACGACAAAGAGGAGGAACAAGAAAGGGTTTCTGTTATTACGCCAATGGATAGGTTTCTTGAAAAGCAAAATGCTGAATCGATCAGACATACAATGCAAACCCAAGAGGATATTTTCAAGCAACAGGTACGCTGTTCTTGCACATATATATGCATCGTTAAATGGATTTTGTCTTTTAATCCGGTTTCATGTTTGTTTTGGTTCGTTTTTTTTTTATAATTATAACTGAATTAAAGTAATCAAACTGAAAAGTAAATCTAGTGATGGATCAGCTCGGAGTAATCCATTTCTATTTATTAATGCAAATTGAAATATTTTGCTTTGAATCTAAGTTTTCACTTTTGGATTATTTCAGCTTTAGTTTTTCTGTTTTTGAAAAGGATGATCAGTTTAACGAATCTAGAAATTCATGATTTTGAGAATTTACTTTAGTTTACTTTCTTTTCTTTTGTTTCTTTTACTTAGTTTTCTTTAAATATACACACAACACAATTTTCATTCATTTTCTTTCAGATTGGTTTTGACCAATTTGGGTAATCACATCAAACATAACACCTTTTTTTAACTTGTTGATAATATAACTATGCATATAACAAAGTGATAATTACTCGCAGGTACGAGAGCTACATAGAGTATATAACACACAGAAAATGATGATGAATCAACTCAAACATAGAAGCCAATATTGGACTGTTGACAACAACAGAGACCAAACCGGTTCAAGAGAGAGAACCGGAAGCTGTTCAGGCATAGACCTCGAAAATGTGGTTAGAGCAACACAAACGACGACGGATCATATCGAAGAGAGCGAACTAGAACTGACACTGAGCATCGGATTGTCTTCTTCATCAAATACTATGAGTACAACAACGGCGAATAAAGACATGGACTACTCGTCGACGACGTCGTTGAGATCATCATCGGATAATTGTAATAATCAGAGCAATAATAATAATAATAACAACAGTAATAATAACCAAGAAAGTAGCGGACCAAACACGCCTATGAGCAGCTCAAGTACAACGTCGTTGGATCGAGAGAAGAAGAGACCTCATTGGCTTTTTCAAGGACTTAGTATTAACCGAACCTCTTCTTGATTTTTTGTTAATTCACTGACTTTTTCTTTTATTTTCTTCCTTATCTTCTTCTCATTCTATTATAATTTTGTATCTGATTTATTGTTATTACTACCATATTTACTGATTTCACTTTAGGTCTAATTATCTTTCTTCGTTAGCACTGAATAAACGGTTTAATTTGAACCATTGACAAAACACACCACTAGTGTTATAAGTTTGCTTAAATAATATATTTTCATATGTTTTTGGAGTTCAGTGAGGTCACATAAATTGAGAAGGATATAGCTTAAAATATAAAGTAAGATAAAAAAAAAAAAAAAAACAGAGCAAATTTGATAGTTCGAGGTGTTTTTTAATTCGACTCTATTGATTTTTAAGATTGGTCTAAGTTACTAATCTCAATGTTCACAACCCGTCTTAGTCCATCACAATTTTATACACAAAATCGTATATTTCACTAGGTTATTTCAACGTAAATATTACATAAACCCTCTCTCTCTCTCTCTTTTGTTCTCCCCTCTAATAATCATCTTCGTCATCTCCATCATTTCTTGATCGGAAAAAGTTTCTAGCCACGGCTGAAGCGGCTCCAAAAAACATGAAGAGAAGTAGGACGTCGAAGCCGCCACCACCACCAACTGCCACCACAGGACCAGGGGCAAAAAATGAAAACGGTGACCATCCGTAACCGCCGTAACCATACCCGTAGCCACCGATCAAAGGTGGTGCAACCTGAGGATTCACGTAGATGTTGGTCCTGTGAAAAGAAAGCTGTTTAGGATATAAAGGGACTATACAATAAGGTCTTTGACTCTTATCATCTTTTGCGTTTTCTAAATTGACAAATGAATTTGACATAAAATGCTAATAGCTGTGAATTACATATAACACGTAAAAACAAACAATGTAGGCCTAAAACTAATTGTGTTTAAGACCCAAATTGTAGTTATTATAAGGTTCAAAAATGTAGAAAAGTATAAAACAATAAAGGGGCTTAAAGTATACTAATGGGCTGATATGGATATAAGCCTGCTAAAGCCCATGCATGAAGCCTCTTTAATCGAGAAACAGAAGACATAAACAAATACGGTATTTTTATACGACAAAAGAAAAAAGAAACTACTGTACAATTCTTCTTGAAGGTACATATGCAATTAAAATCGAGATTAAAGGTTTTAAGTAAAAAAGGTAAATGAAGAATTACCTTGATCGGTTGTTAATTCTAGGAGGAGGGCGAGGAGCTGAAGAACGAAACGCTTGACCGCCGACTCTTCCACCGCTTTTGGCCGCAGACGCATCTCCAACGCTTCCCAAAGCCAAAACGCCAACCGCTAGCGTCGCGATTGCCAATTTCGCCAACTGATTCTCATTCTTCCTATTCAATAAAAAAGATTGAATAAGAAGAAGAAGACCAAACTTGAATTTAAAACGTAATTCTCTAAATAAATAAATTACCGGGATGAACCAGTTTCTTCGTCGTCGTGTTGAGGAGCTTTACAACAGATAGAGTTGGGACGAGTGAGGTTAATATTGGATCTGGGTTTGAAACTGTGTCGGAAATCGTACGTGTTTGATGAAAAGCTCTGTCGTGAAGAAGCTACGGCAGCGAAATACATTTTTGTTCTTGTTTTGGTCTCTGTGGTTTGTTCTTACTTCTTCTATGCTCTTCTTCTAACTTCTATAAAGTAGACATCGTTCTCGTCTTCGTCTTGGTTACGTTTTTTTTGTAGCTCTTTAGTTTGTGATAAAACGAATGCCACGTGGGTAACAACTAGTGGCCTACTAAAGAACACATGTATCCACGCGGAATAAGAAATCTGGTTTATGTTATCAGTTCGGTCTGAAGACATAATCGAACCGGTTAGTTATCTAACCAAACCCCACCCAATATGCTCTTCAGCTCTTGGTTTAATTTGAAAGAAGGATAAATTGTTAAAAATAGTATTCCAAGTAGTAAAGATATTATAATCTTATTCGAAACTTTAGCTTTGTTATATTCATCAAGTTCATGTGATAAACAATAACCATGTCTATTAGAACTTTATAAAACGAAGATGTATAAAAAGCCTATGATAGTATCTTCCCTTTTTTTATCCAAGAGATGGAAACGAAAACACATGTTTGTAATTAAGTCTAACTCATGAAGAAGGATGATTAAAAAAACCCCACGAGTTTAGATGAACTTAACAGATACAGTAACACATATAATTAAACAAAAAAACCTTATTTCTCCTCTTATAAAATCATCATCATTATCTGTTAAACAAAAGAGGAACTTCTTCTTTCTTCAAACATCTTCTTGTTAAAACTGAGTCCATCTTTTTATTAAACGGTGTAGTGACCAGCTGTCTCAATGTCAAGTCCCTTCAGTTTCACCACTGATTCTACATGCCCTTTAAGCGTATGGAGTTCCCTAAGCCTGTAAGCAAACACACACACACAAAAAAGGCTAACGTTAACTTCAGTCACAAGAAACTTCAAAGTTTTTTCTTTTCTTTTACAAGTCATCTATTACCTTGCGATCTCAGCTCGTCTCTTGGCTTGATTTGCAATCTCGGACAGTTCTCTGTAGCCACCTTTCTCGGAGACAACATTGGCTGTTTCAGTGTTCTGAAGACCGTGTAAAGTCCTCTGTGCATGAGCCCATTGTGCTTCTCTCTCCTCTATTCCATAGTTTTGCTTAGTGGTGAATGCAGTCTGTATTTTTATCAGTTCATACAAAAGAGAGATTTTGTTGAGCTTTAAAATCACATTTCACAAGAAGAGGACCAAACGAGTAATTTAAGAAAGCAGAACGTACCTTGTTGTCAATGAGATTGTTCCAGGCTGTTCCTGCTAGTATGTAACGGATTGCGAACTTCATTATGTCTAATGGAAAGTAAAAGACAATACTGTAAAGCCAGATAACTGCAGCCCATCCCCATCCTATTCCTCTGATTCTTGCAAATTCCCAATTCGGGTAAACCGCAATTATAGTTGCAATCTACAAGGTCAAGTTTATGAATCATTAAAGAGATTCTATAATGAAGAAGAAGAAGAGACAATGTCTACTTTTTTTTTTTGTATACTTACCGCTTGTGCTGCCATGAAAGCAAATAGCAATAAATATCCAGGTCGTTCTGTAAAAGACCAGCTTCTTGATCGAGTGACGAAGATAAGAGCTTGGCTCACGATACTGACTTGTAAGTATAAAGCAGACATCATTTCATGGTCGCTGCCTCTCAAGTCTCTCACGTGGAACGTCCTCTACAAAGTTTAGAAAACAGAGTTATGCTTGTGTGACAAGTAATATGGAGAGAGATTGTTTTTACGTTATATATACCGGGAAGAAATCGGTTCTGTATGCAGCCCAGAAGAAAACAACAGTAATTATAGCCATGTAGCCTCCAAGAACAACTCCGGTTGCAAAGATTTCTTTGAGTTTCCAGCTATCTGGTGTAGGAGAAGGCTTGACTCTGTCCTTTGAGATAGTCATGATGGTTCCTGTTGAGCAAGTTGATCATGTTAGTTTTATAGAGAATTTTAGAGAATATATATAAAGAGAGACACTTACCATCGTTTAAGATAGCAATGATCAAAACCATGAATGGTGAAAAGTCGAACTTCCATATCAGAGCAATAAGCATGAATCCAAACTGTAAAAAAGGCACAAAGAAAGATTATAAACAGAGATTATTTGATGATATTCAAAAATACATACAAGATTGTTTACTTACCACAATACGGATGGTAATTGAGACTGCATAAATCTGTTTGAAAAAAAGATCAGAAAAACACATAATCAGAACAAGTGAAATTGGTGAAAATGTTCTGAAAAATCTATAGCTTAAGATTAAGAGAACACTTACTGTGTAGTTCTTCATTCTCTGGAAGATGGCTCTACTCGTTAGAACCGCGCTGATGATCACACTGAGACCGGGCTCGGTGAGGACGATATCAGAAGCACCTCGTGCAGCGTCAGTTGCATCCGCGACAGCGATACCTATATCCGCTTTCTTCAAAGCGGGAGCATCATTCACTCCGTCTCCTGTCATACCACATATATGCTTCTTCTCTTGCAACTTCTTCACAATTTCGTATTTGTGCTCTGAATAAATTTGGTAAAGCAAAAAAAACAAGTGTTATAGAGAGAAGAGCAAGTTTTTGTTTCAAAACAAGATATGCAACAAAAATAATCTCTTAGACCAACCTGGGAAGACCCCAGCAAAGCCATCAGCTTTCTCAATCAACTCCTCAACAGGAAGGTGAGCGATGGCTTCGTCTTTGTGGTTACCGAGTAAAGAAGCGGATGGGTACATGTTTGTTCCCATTCCAAGTCTACGTCCAGTCTCTTTCGCAATAGCAAGTTGATCCCCTAATTATAAACAATGGAAAAACAAGTAAGAAATCCAAGATAAAACTCTAGTGTATTTTTTTCACAAAGCAAAAGAGTAATGTTTTAGATGTAAACCAGTAATCATCTTGACATTGACACCAAGTTCTAGAGCTCTTCTTATGGTTTCTGCACTATCATGTCTTGGAGGATCAAACAAAGGCAACACACCAACGAACTCCCATGGACCACCAGAGCTTTCTTTTGTTTTCTCAGGTACAGTCTGATACAAAAGAAACACAAAACTTACATCAACTAACTCTTCCTTAAATTTGTTACAAGATGTACAAAAAAAATCTCACCTGTCTTGCAACAGCTAATGACCTGAGTCCACGCTCAGCGTACTTATCGATTGCAGAGTGGACTCTCTTCCTCAGATCAGGTCTTGCGTTGCAGAGATCAAGAATCTGAAATCATCAGAGAATCAATTATTACGGTTAATCATTAAAGAGACGCAACAATTAACATAAAAACTTAAACAAACTCAGTTCTCTTTACCTGCTCGGGAGCTCCTTTGCTTACTCGGTGCCAGTTTCCGTTGCCATCGATATACGTCAAAGCGGTTCGCTTATCAACTGGATTGAAAGGAAGGAAGTGAATCTCTCTAATTCCAGCTCTTGCCTAAAAGAAAGACACAGTGAGAACAGAACAACATTCCATTTACTTCACTAATTAAAACAGAGGAAAAAACAGAGTTTCTAAAACTTATATATATTTATACCTCTTTTGGATCAGCAAGCATGCCAACCATAGCAGCATCAATAGCATCTTGATTCTCAACTCTTGAAGCCCTAGCAGCAAAAAGCACAACTTCATCTTTCTCAACGCCTCTAGCACAAACCTCAATCAGGTTCTTGTCAACACTAAGCTTGTTCAGAGTCAGAGTCCCGGTTTTATCGCTGCACAGAACATCCATACCAGCCATTTCTTCAATGGCGGTCATTCTTTTGGTGATAGCTCCTTGTTCAGACAACTTGTGAGATCCAATAGCCATTGTCACAGACAAGACAGTAGGCATTGCAATAGGGATCCCACCAATCAAAAGAACAAGAAGATTGTCGATTCCGTCTCTGTAGTGTCTGCGCTGGATCGGATACATCACAACGAGCTCAATCGCAAGACCAACGGCTATGGAACATATGCAGAAGTTTCCAATCGCCGTAAGAACTTTCTGGAAATGTCCAACTTGGTTTGTGCTGTCGACAAGATGAGCCGCTTTACCGAAGAAGGTGTGGACTCCAGTGGCAATCACAACCGCTTCAATCTCACCTTGCTTGCAGGTGGAACCAGAGAAAACTTCTTCACCTGGACCTTTTGTTGCAGGAAGGGATTCTCCGGTTAAAGCAGATTGATCCACTTTTAAAGGATCTCCTTCAAGAAGACGTGCATCAGCAGGAATGATGTCACCTAGCTTGATGCTCACGATATCTCCAGGAACAAGAATTGAAGCTTCTTGCTCTGACCATTTCCCATCTCTTAGAACCTGCATAACAAAACAAATACTGTTAAAAGCTTGAGGTTTCGAGCTTCAAGACTGTATCATCAAACACAAGTTCTCAGTTTTACAAAGCCAGCATATAGCTACTTATAGATATGAGTTTACTCAGAAAATACATGTAAGCAAATGAGTTATATTAAACATTTTCAAGTTAGACCACAGCTAGTAACATGGTTATCGCATGTCATTACTAAAGCAAATAGGAGTATGAAGAGAGTTATAAAAGAAGGGACCTTAGTTTTGGGAGCAAGACCAGCCATAAGAGCAGCAGCAGCATTTCCAGCATTGTTTTCTTCGATAAAACTGATAGTTGAGTTGATGACCAAAAGACAAACAATACCGACAAAATCTTGCCAATCCGGTGGCTTTCCACCGCCATTAGCCAACGCAATAGCCATGATTGCAGCTGCTTCCATGACCCATGAGAGAGGGTTCCACATAAAACCCAAGAACTTGAGTAATTTGCTTTCCTGTTATAACCCAAAACCACCAAAACATTGTTAGTTAGTGATCATAGTTCACTTATGACGACTTTAGTTATTACTGTTAAAACCAAACTATATAGTAACACTTAAATCAGTCTGGTTACCTTCTTCTCTTCCAGCTTGTTGGGACCAAAGATCTGGAGTCTGTTTTCTCCTTCTGCCCCAGACAAACCTTCCCGTGTACATTTCAACTGCTGGAACACTTCTTCAATTGGGATTTTCTCCTGCAAGATTATATAAACACGATTCAATAATCTTCCAACATTAGCAATAACAAGTAAGCAACTCTTATTCAACATTTTAATTTATAAACTGTTACACCAAAAAAAAAACTATTATTC